TCTTGAACGGTGATTTACATGAAGAAATCTATATGGATTTACCTCCAGGTTATACACCAAAAGAGGGGGAAGTCTTACCTCAGAATGCAGTTTGTCGATTGAAAAAGTCGTTATATGGTCTTAAACAGGCTTCTCGACAGTGGTTTTTGAAGTTCAGTTCTACTCTGTTAAATCTGGGATTTCGAAAGTCACAGACAGATCATACACTCTTCATCAGGAGCATTGGAACTAGTTACATTGCGGTTTTGGTTTATGTCGATGACATAATCATTGCAAGCAACAATGATAATGATGTGGAAACACTTAAAGCAGCTATGCAGAGAGCTTTTAAACTAAGAGACTTGGGAGCACTAAAATCTTTCTTGGCTTAGAAATTGTTCGTTCAAGTAAGGGCATCTCTATCTGCCAAAGAAAGTATATCTTAAGCCTACTTGAAGATACAGGGTTACTAGCTTGCAAACCGGCCACAGTTCCAATGGATCCAAATGTCAAGCTAAGTCAACACAATGATGAACCTGTTCTTGAAGATGTTGGTTTATATCGGAGATTGGTTGGTAAGCTCATGTATCTTACCATCACACGACCTGATATAACTTTTGCTGTCAACAAACTTTGTCAGTGTGCTTCAGCTCCAAAGAAATCTCATCTAAAAGCAGCTTACAAGGTTCTACATTATCTCAAAGGAACTGCAGGTTTAGGCCTGTTCTATCCGGTGGAATCAAATCTGGTTTTTCAATCTTTTACTGATGCAGATTGGGCATCATGTCCAGACACTCGACGTTCAACTTCGGGTTTCTGTATGTTTCTTGGACAATCTCTCATTTCATGGAAGTCTAAGAAACAGCCAACTGTCTCACATTCCACTGCAGAATCTGAGTACAGAGCAATGGCGTTTGCAGTCAAGGAAGTCGTTTGGTTGGTGAATCTTCTTAATGAGTTACAGGTACCTCAATCTATACCTGTTGCATTCTATTGTGATTCTACTGCGGCTATTCACATTGCCAACAATCCAGTATTTCATGAACGGACGAAACATGTAGATTTGGATTGTCATGAGGTTCGAGACAGAGTTGATAGTGGTTTGATCAAGACACTTCACATTAACACTACGAATTAGCTCGCAGATGTCTTTACCAAGCCTCTGTTTCCTAATCAATTCTCTTCTCTCATAAGCAAGATGTCTCTTCATTCAATTTACGTGCCATCTTGAGGAGGAATATCAGAATATAGGATAGATTTGGATTGTATTTCCCGGTTATGATATAAAACCGGTTTACTTGATTCATTTCTTTCCATATATAAGATAAACAATGTAACAACATTCATTGATGAATAACAGAATTTCTTTTCCCAATTTCATCTTCTTGTTTACTCTACACAACTAATAACAACTCAACATCGTGCGTTCGGAATTTGTCGATCGCTTTTACTTCCCTTTGCCGCTTAATTAGAGTCATCATTGCATTTTGGGAGATTCTAAGCCTAATCGATATATTCATTAACATTTGTTATATTTTAAGATATTTTTTCACAAACCATGCATGTATCCGTCTATAACCCGTTAATCGTTATTCATAATCATATTCAAAGACATATTAGCTTGTAGGGTTTCCGTAATCCTACGACTTACGACGAAAGAATTAATCCTCTTAATGATACCATTCTTTGCAGATAACATGACACGAAATAGTGGTTTAAGAAATGTGTTCTTGTCCGTTTCGTTTCAATTGACCGCTCATCTTTTTAATATCACTTCTCCAGGTAGATACGTAAAGTGAATTTAGGAAATAATGACATTGTTCAATCTTATTAAGATTTCACTAATAACATTTTTTCCAGATAATATGGTACAAAAATAAAATTTTAAACTAGTACTTTTTACTACTTTAATTACCCATAGCGTAACAAATTAGCAAAATCCTAAAAGTCAATATTTATTTGTAACAATATGAATAAACTAATTTAGTTTAGTGTTTACGTAAACTTGCAATGAATTACTACATTCTTTTCCAAATTTCAATTATTATATGCAGATTTTCTCTTGTAATATTTAAATAAAATCCGTCGGTATATTCATAAATTGACATTTCATAGTACGACTGGGAAATATATTAATTTATTGTTTGATGCACAGTTTTTGTCAAAACAATAAAACTAGTTAAAAGACAAAACAGACATATTTTTAACAAAAACAAAAAAAAACAAAACAGACATATACGGTGTCGTTTTACGTTCCACGCGTTCATCAAAATCTTTTTGTCTGCTGCATGCTCAGATGATAAAAGGGCCGTAGATTTGGCTTATTAACAAATAATTAACCAGAGTAATCAATTGTTACTTTAATTAATACAGCTTTATTCTACTCGTTCGATTTTATATAGTATTTAAAGTGGATTAGATTAGTATTGAATCTTACTAGAGATGGGGCATCCGAGAACAAACAGTGTCCCTACAAGCTGCTCGCTTTAGTTATTTTTTATTTATTTAATACAGTATATTTACCAAATTACAATTAATTATTTTTTATATAAGTGGTGATAATTAGTGGACTTCGCTTTTTATGAAAAAAATCATTCATATTGAGACAACAACAATAATAGTAATAAATTCTACGGATTCGTCAATAATTGAAAAATAGGTATGAGTGGATGAACAGTAAAACCAATTATGTATCATATGATTCTACAACTTCTCTTTGGGTCAATTTTCAAAATTCAAGCCAAAACTAAACAATAAATAAACTGTAGTGCCACATGAAATTACAGGTCGGACCATAGTGAAAATATCAGCACATATACAATACTATATAAATATATAAACCTAAAGTCCTCAGATGCTGAGAATTTAATTAAAGGGAGTACCCAGCTGTAAAGCCTACAACTTTTCTATCTCATTTATGGTGCGAACCTTTTTTTGTCCTGCCCAATGCATTTTTTTATAGTGTGTAGTGATATTTTCCATTTGTATAATTTCAATTTTCAAGGAGAAAATAATTCGATGTGTATAATGCATATTTTTGTGTGTGTATATACTTGCAAATTTTCACGTGTGGACAAGATATGAATGTATACAAACGTGTGTGCGTAGGACAAATTAGTCGTTGGATTAGTAGTTGCCAACAGTCGCGCTAATTAATAAATACGTATTCTACTCTCCTTTTTGTGTTTGTTAGGGTCAAGATAATATAGAAATTTATGAAGTTAATCATGGATATATTACGACAAAAAAATTGGACCCGTTCATTAGTCCATAATTATATGAAGCCGAAATAGAATATGTCTTGTTTTTGTCTTCAATATCCGATCTATCTATAATTTTACAGTAGTGATGCAATTGATTTGTCTTAATTATACTATAGGTATGATTTATTTTCTTGATTTCAACATCGTTAGATATTATAATGAGTATTTTTTTGGTCAATCATTTTTCGAATGAGTATAAGTTATTATTCCGACCACAATTATTTGAGATTTTCTTAAATCAACAATAGATTTCGTGCAATGCCCGGAAACGTTAAGTGTAGAACATGGGGTGTTTTTTTCTTCTTCTTATTAATTGTCAGTCACTAAATCAGATATCCAGATTAGGAATTACGTCAAGTGCCAATGTTGTCACTTAAGCCATATCTTATTGCTTTCAAATGCAGTTAACGTCAGTCCATTTTTGAAAATTAAACAGCATCTTACTATTATTATTTTTCCCGAACAGAGTATTTAATTAATCTGAGTTTCTTTCACTAACGACTTCAAACATTCATAATACCAAAATTAATCACTGAACCTGTAACATTCTATTTGAACTATACTCTGGTAGAGCAGACCTCGTACTAAATCCAAGCTAAAATTAGTATTTCGATAGCATAAAAACGTTTTGGTATGGTTCAAGTTCAGTGTTTCTTAAAATACAATACGTATGGATTGTCACAAACTTTTTGAAGATCTAGGCATAAACCTAATAAAGTACAAATAAGAAAATATATAGTGGAGAAAACTTAAAGATTTTAGTTTCAAAATAATGAGAAAACTAGCATAGGGTGATAAGTACTTGTGTTTTAAAAGATAAATACCACTTAATTTTTTAAAAAAATTTTGTTTTTGTTATTCTTGGATATATATGAATTAAATAGCAAAATGGTGGTGTGCTAAAAAAAAGATAAATTGACAATATAAAATTGCGAAATGCATGAAAATTTAGAATTTGTTGGGAGACTATGTTGTATGTATATAATTGATTTGTCATCTTCTGGATGTAAACAAGTTTAATTTTCAAAAGCAAATACTCGAGATTTTCTAGGCCTAAACTCATATTTTTTTTTTCGTCGGAAAATATTTGTTAATAAGAATGCATAATAGAAGAGGAGGTTCAAGAACTCACAAATAACCCAAATTCGAGTAGAAATGTTTTTTTTGTGTTGAATATATATGTTTACTTGTCTTCTAACATCATGACTCGCATGTCGATGCTACAACTTCAAGGAAGACACATGTAAGAAACTATAAAAAATAAGAGCAAACCCCATCCCATTTTTCGTCTTCCTTCAACAGGTGGACTGAACGTACATATATGAATCATGACAACAGTTTGTTGGGTCTTTCATGATGATAAATTGATTGTGCTTACATAAATCGAGTGCATGGGCACATAACAATCAAGGTGAAACTGCTCAATCGAATTTCTCTAGCTGATAAAAAAAAACATCATCCTACAACTAGTCCACAAATAGACTCTTTAAATTCTACACGTAAACTTTATTTTTCAGGAGTTTTTTTAAGCCCCACTCTGAAAATAATATGTCAACTAAACTTTCTTTAACAAACAAAATTACCGTTGCATAAAGACACATGTCAATTCAGTCCCTAATTCAATAGAATGAAGAAAGAAGAAAGAATATAAAGACGAAAACTTTTAATTTTATTTATTTTTCAAGATGCTAGGAAATAGCCAAATCCAAGCATTGACTCTTTATCCAATGTCTTACCCTTTGTCTATAACTGTTTCTCATCCTTCACTCTCTACACAAAATCTCTTTCTCTCTCTCTCTCTTTCTCTTCTTATAAGAAAAGAGCAAAAAGCTTTCTTCGTTTTACTATTTCCATGATTCTGAATTCCACAAAGAAAGAGAAAGAGAGAGAGACAGAGAGTGAGCAAATAAAAAAGGTTTTTAAGTAAAATTTGTCTCCATGGCTGCTCATGAGAAGAAGAAGAAGCTCTTATTACATGAGCTGCTTCAAGATGACCAAGAGCCTTTTCATCTCAACCATTACATCGCCGAGCTTCGATCTCAGATGGGTCACTCCGATTTGCGTCTCAAGAAGCGAAAGTCCGAAAACGCAGCCGTTTTACCTCATGGTTTCTTCTCCTGCGAGAGTTCTTGTTTCTTCGCGACTCATAATTCACCCGACCCGAGAAAATCTCCTCTCTTTGAACTCCGTTCTCCGGCGAAGAAGAAGACCCGTGACGGTCGAGTTCTCCTCCATATTCCGGCGAGAACCGCCGCAATTCTGATGGAAGCTGCGGCGAGGATTCAGAAGCAGCAGTCGGAGAAAGCGAACAAGAAAGCTCGGAACAGAGGAAACGCGTTCGGGATGTTCGGGTCCGTTTTGAAGCGGTTGACAAGCCGTAGAGCGAAAACGCGTCTGGATAACGCTGATGGAAACGCGATTTCGTCGGAACGCGGGTCAGAACCGACGAGTAGCAGTAGCCGCCGGCGAGAGCGTTTCGTGGAGATTGGCGATAAGTGTTTTTGTGAGAGCCCTTTTCATTTCGTCCTCCACACAACTCCTTCCTCTTCCGGTCACCGGACTCCTCACTTCACTTCGGCGGCTACTTCTCCGGCGCGACGCAGTACAGAGGTTTGTCTCAATCTCTCAATATATCTTTACACTATAATTTATCATTAATAGGACAATTATGAAAATAGTCTAATCTTTTTTTCATATTTTAACAAAATACACTAAATTTAAACCATAAACTCCAAAGTATACTCTAAAAACTAAGGCCTTATATTTCTAAGAAAGATTTAAACTCAAAATTCGGAATCATATCTCTGAAAATTCAAAATTTCAATGGAAAATTTTCCAATAAAATGTCTGTCTTCAGTTTTGAAATTTGTAGCATCTTTTGACTTCTAATTAATTAATCATAAATTACCATACAGTAAAAGAAAAAGTTAAAAAACATTCTATGGAAAAACTGAAAAAACATCTTCTGATTAGAGCAGAGACACATGGCCGGCTGAAAATTGTCTGTATGATATGACTGATTCGTGTAAGTTCTTCAGGAGTACGGTAAATATGTTTTTACCTCACAATGACGGATATGCCCCCTATATTCGAGTTTACAGAGCCTCGTAGTGGTGGGGGTGTTTATGTCATTTATGTTCCCCCACTATGACGATTGTTGCATTTCCTAGCTAGTTCAACTTCAAAATTTTCAATCCAATTAATTCTCTGGCAAATTACCAAAAACACTTTTTCCTACCTTTTAATTCAGTGGGTTAAGTCTTAAATGTAAACCAAACATTTTGTGTTAGCTAGTCTTAGAAAAAGTCAGCATCCAAGGTTTTGTCAAAAAGTTGCAATCTTCTTAGGGAAGTATTAAATTGTATGCTCACAAAATTCATAAGTAAATTTTACCCTACTTGTGTTTCTAGTGTAAACAAAATGCATAGTAAAAAAATAAAGAAATAATTGAGGAGTGATTAATATATATAGATAGCCTTTTTTTTTTTTTGATAATGGGTTGCTAAAACACAACCCTCATGGATATAAATTTGAATAGCTAAAATTAGTTGTGATCCAATGCCAGAAATAGTAAGAGACAAAAAATGGTGAAACCAAAAGTGTGTTTAATGAGTTGTAACAGGACGAAGATAGCGATGAGACAGAGAGCTCAGAGAAAGTGAGAGGACAAGAAGAAGAAGATAAAGAAGAGGAAGACAAGGAACAATGTAGCCCTGTCTCTGTACTTGACCCTCTTGAGGAGGAGGAGGAGGAAGACGAGGACCACCACCAGCGAGAGCCTGACCATCTCAATCTCCTCTCTTGCAGCTTTGAAGTTGTACAACGTGAGTAACTAAATCTACCATTACATCATCATCATGGACCATATGAATCGAAAACATCACTTCAAATTTTAAGGGTCCCCAATCGTTTTAAGGGTTTCAAGATTTTTGTTGTGTTTGGACTTATTAAACAGGCGCGAAAAGGAGGCTACTCAAGAAGCTTCGTAGATTCGAGAAGCTAGCGGGGCTGGATCCAGTAGACCTGGACGGAAAGATGTCAGAAGAAGAAGAAGAGGAAGAGTATGAGGATAGCGAGGAAGACGATAACATAAGGGTTTATGATTCGGATGAAGAATATGAGGACGTAGACGAAGCGATGGCACGAGAGGGTGGATGCGTGGAAGAGGAGAGGAGGAAGAAGAATGATGAGAGGCAGAAGAAGTGGAGGATGATGAAAGCGTGGAGGGTAGGAATGGGTGCAGAGGAGGACGTAGACGCGGTGGTGAGGAAAGATATGAGAGGAGAGGCAGGAGAATGGATAAGACACGGTGGAGAAGTGGAGGAGACCGTGTCTGATCTCGAGCTCTCTATCTTCGTCTTCTTGATTGATGAATTTTCCCACGAACTTGTCTCTTCTCCTCCATGAAAAAAAAATGAATTTTATCAGACACAGGAAAATTAGTAGATTTCTAGAAAGATTATTACCTCTATGAAATGAAGTAGGTTTAACGTTATGGAGAATAATTTGGTTTATCAAGTCAAAGATATCTAGAAATCTACTAAATATTTGTTTCTAGGTTAAAATATATTAGATAGGTGTGTTTCTAGTTTCCCTTGTGTGTAGTGAATTAGTACTACCACAGTCCAACAATGCATTTGTGATTTATATAGCTTTATATATAGTAAAGTTTCATGAACTATATAGAAAAGTTTCTCTCATTAGTAAGTAATATTCAGTGATATCAATTATTTAACGAGACATGATAAAACATAATCGTAAAACGGTGGACAGTTTTTCAACAACCGTGTCTTCCACGAAACCATCGACTTGTGCGCGCGAGAAGACCATCAACAAAAAAAGAAGAAAAATGTCAAAATAAAAAGGAGGTTCACATTAATCCTCCAAATATAGTTTTAGTTAAGGTTAATACTTAATAACATTGAATGAAGTTTTATCATACCAATTACATTCAGACAATGCAAGATATGCATGTGCCACTGAACTCTAATTTTAATTGATAGAACCAGAGTGTTACGTGTCAAACTTCAATCGGACAACCCTCGGACCGTCCTGATTAGGACCACATATGCTTTGCTTCCTGATGATTTATTAATGTGTGATTCATGTTTTGTAAATACAGAAAAAATTGGACCGACTTGAAATCATGTGCCACTGAACTATAATTTGTATTATAGTATTTTCACTAATTAATAATGTCACCATATTAGTATATGGTTACAAATTCTCTGTTCGTTTAGTGTATGTGAGTGGTTTAAATCATTGGCATAACATGATTGGATTGGTTATACTTTAATTGGATGTACTGGATGTGAATTTCTTAAGCAAGACCAATTACCAATAAGTTGATTGATCTTTATATATTTTTATTATATAATATATATTATTGTTAGTATCTGTTATATCATATGTGAGCTTCGGAAACGGATAGGACCAGACTCGACTAAATTTTTTTCGGACTCGCATGGATGACCCGATTGACACATATGTGATACCAACCGATTATATCTTCTACATTATTTACTACACATAGGGGAAATGTATTATTTTTTTCGAGCATAAAAATTAAAAACTAAAAGTAAAATTAGAAGAATCATAATTACTAGTTCTTCAAAGAAACTTCGCAGCGGCGAAAGATCATGGATGGACCAAGTCATGAGTCATGACTACTAACTAAATCTTCATTGGAGAATACAAATCGAAAAAATTTTAAATACTTTGAAATAATTATGGACCAGCCTCCATTATGTGACGATCAAGTGGACCAACAAAAGAAAAATATCAATCACAAAGACTCTATTTAGTTCCAAAACTACCCCTTCAATCACTTCTCTTAATCATAGATCCTCTTCATCAAATTTCACACCAACAAAAATGGTGGACACGGCGGAGCAACCGCCTTATGCCTCCGTACACGACGGAAGAGAAAGCATCTTCAAGATCCACATTGACAAGATGCATAAGAAGCTGAAGGAGCCACCGCGGCTGCTCAGCTCGGCCGCCGGAAAACCAACTTGCTCGATCTTCCGAGTACCTCAGAGCATGATTGATTGTAACGGCCGATGCTACGAGCCGCGAGTGGTCTCGGTGGGACCGTACCACCGAGGCCAAACGCACCTCCAAATGATTGAAGAACACAAATGGCTTTACCTAAACACTCTTCTCACTCGAACCCACCAAACAAAATCTTTAACTCTAGAGGATTACATGAAGAACGTGAAGAGCGTCGAGGAAGAGGCCAGAGAGTGTTACTCCGAGTCAATCAACATGGAATCTGACGAGTTCAACGAGATGATGGTTCTTGATGGCTGTTTCATTCTTGAGCTGTTTCGTAAAGTCAGCAAACTTGTTCCTTTCGAACAAGACGATCCACTCGTGGCCATGTCGTGGGTTCTTCCTTTCTTCTACAGAGACTTTATCCGTATTGAGAATCAAATCCCTTTCTTTGTTCTCGAGTCTTTGTTCGACCTCACAAGAGGAGATAACGAAAAAGAGACCAACGCTTCTTTACCTTCTCTTGCGTTTGCGTTTTTCAACAACACGATGCACAGAACAAGCGAAGACATCGCAAGATTCAAAGACCTAGGAGCTAAACACCTCCTAGACCTCGTCCGTTCAAGCCTCATCCCGGAGAGCGAGCTTCACGCGCCTCCGGTGACAAATCAGGGGAAGAAGAAGACGCCGTCCAACATCATCCACAGCATCTCGAAGCTCAGGCGAGCCGGGATCAAGATCCGGGAGCTAAAAGACGCAGAGAGCTTTCTTGTCGTGAGATTCACGCACGGAGCGATCGAGATGCCGAGCATCACCGTCGACGACTTCATGAGCAGTTTCTTGCAGAACTGCGTGGCTTACGAGCAGTGCCACGTGGCGTGCTCGATGCATTTCACGACGTACGCGACGCTGCTAGACTGTCTGATGAACACTCACAAGGACGTTGAGTATCTATGCGACCACAACATCATAGAGAACTATTTTGGAACAGAAGCAGAGGTTGCTGAGTTCGTGAACAGTTTAGGCAAAGACGTTGCGTTCGATATAAGGCAGTGTTATCTCAGGGATTTGTTTGAACAAGTGAATGAGTATTACAAGAGTAGTTGGCACGTGGAATGGGCTAGTTTCAAGTACACTTATTTTAGTTCTCCTTGGTCTTTTGTCTCTGCTCTTGCTGCTTTTGTTCTTTTGATCTTGTCTATTATTCAGACTATTTACACTATTGTCCAGGTGTATCAAAAGTAATTAAATTCAATTTCGCTTATTGCAAAATAATAAAAATTATAATCTATTGGTATGATTGAATGACCTAATGCAAATCAATGAGAATTATATTAGTGTAATTAATGTATTATTACCTACAATAATTTGTTTGTGTGGAATTTTGTGTTTAAACATGCATCTATAGTTTCCGCGTTATAAATAATTTGTGTGGAGATGGATGATTTCATATTTCCCTGAAACATCGATTTATTTATTTATTTATTTTAAATACGAGATTGCATCTAGATGCATTTGTTTAGTATTAATGGAGTAGAAGGTATTAATTGTCTAACGATACGAAAAAAATTGTTTGGTAGCATGACGGTAGGAAATGGTCAATTCAATAGAAATGTCAACGATCCTCCATGCTTCGTGGATCAGATGATTCCACGTGATAGCTCAGGCTTCGTTAGCAAAGTGAAGACTAAGACCATGTTCAATGAAAAAGGTGCTTAAATATTATTTAATTATTAAATTTAAAATCATTTTCATTTTATAACATACTAGTGTGTGATCTGCGCTATGCGCACGCGGACGTTTACCATTGTTTTTATATTACGATTCTTCTCTATTATATTATACACATGTTTTTTCCTTTTTTTATAGTTTTATATATGGGAGACTTATATCTCTTATAAAAGGTGTTATTCGGGGTGTTTTTTTTAATAATTTTTTGGTTAATGTCATGGAAGTGCTATATTTATTCTTGTTAATTTATTTTTGTTTATGAAGTATTTGTTTTTTTCGTTTTTTTAATTTGTAATTGTGAAAGCACTTTCTCCGTTAGTATATTTTGTATAAGGCCTTGAGTCAAAAGAAGTACAAAATGTCTATATTGAAATCGGGTTTGGATGGTTAGTATGAAAGTTTTTTTTTAGTCTGTAATTTTTTGTATTATTTTATATTGGCTCATTTTCTAGCTATATTTATTTGTTCGTTCGATGTTTATGAAATCTCATTTTGATTATACAAAGCTGTGTCCGTTTCTAGCCCTTCATAATTGTAGGTATTAATCGATAGCTCTCTCAAATGTTGGCAAAACTCTTCTATTGTTGATAGAGGGTGCTTCAATTGAAAGAGGGTGATTGAAATTTTGGTCGGACCAACCTTTTGTTCATACCCATTCCTTTGGTCTCTAATTGAGTCATTTTTTTCATCCTCCTTCTCTTTCTTCCTTGGGTGATTCAGTGACGTTTATTTCGGTATTGTCCACTCTTGCAGTGCTTTTTTCCAGAATCGGTGCCGGTCTAACCCCTTCCCATGATTTCTTAGATATACCTCTATTCGTCATCATATTGGGGAGCTGATCAGTTTCTCAGCTTTGGAATTGGTTTTTTGGGTGTGTCGTTGGTGACTCCAATTTGGCGTGGATTTCATGGATCCTTTTTGGGATTGGTAGAAAGTCCAGCGTTTATGGTTAAGCTGAGCTGAGTTTTTTTTCTGGAAAATATTACTTCCGTCGAAAAATCTGTTTATGCAATTCTCTTTTGATGGTGATTCCGTGATTGTTGTCGTTCATATAGTTTGTTTAATTTTAGTTTCTGGTAGTGTGATATTTGATTTATTTAAAGTGTCTCATCATTTGCCGTAACTGAAGAAACCGGACAAACTAAAAGTTTTTTAAAAAAATAATTGCACAGATGGCTGCTGAGGTGACTGCTGAGGTGGCAGCACCAGAAGAGAGAAAAGCTATCTTTATATATATAGATGTCTGCTAGTATCTGTTAAGCATCGCTGCTTACAACTCTTATTTAAGCATCAATGCTCAAATTATTCTATTTTTATGATTTAATTTTTTTTTTAAATTATCTAAGCACTCTTCTTAAGCATCTGTATTGAACATGCTCTAAAACCCTTAGAAATTCCTGGTAATTTCTTGTGATTAACATTCAACATATATTTCATTTTAATAATATTTCATTTTAATAATATGTGACAATTCTTTGGTCTAACCAAAAATTTAGTGTCTTTGGGCATAATTAACTTTTTGAAACATGCACAAAAAAAAAAAATTATACTCTCCGTTTCATAAAGAGTGTCATTCTGACATTTTTCACACATATTAAGAAAATGATTAAAAGTACAATTTTGTCCCTTATTAATATATTAAATCATTTGTTTTTATCTAATAAATACATTAAATTAATAAGGTTAAAACTGAAATATTATTTAAAATTTTGTATTGAAAATATAAAACGACACTCTTTATGAAATAAAAATAACACCATAAAACGACACTTTTTGTGAAACGGAAGGAATATATAGAAACTTCAATCGGTGAGAGAAAAAAAACGTGCGAAACGGCCAAACGGGGAAAGCAAAATCAACAATACGAGAAGACTTTTAGAATATTCAACGTCTTGGAAAAGTAACTCACTAGGTTTGGTACTTCTCTTTGCCAAGTCTCTCGAAGATGATTAATTTGAAAACAAAGTATCTCGAAGAAGACTCGGTCGTCTTTTACTTCTTCAAATCATCTCTTTATCTCTCACTGCATATATATAAATACATAATCACACAATCCAATATATCATTTACACAACATATTATCAACAACCGATCAAAGACCGATTACTTTTGACAATTCCTTTTTATAATATCGATTTTTAAGATCGTTATTTCGTGAATCATTTTTAATTTACGCAAACGCAGTTATGAGCGACAATATATCGTTCTCTGAACATTGCAGATCAGACAACATTCATACGGTAATAGAACATAAAGAGATTCAAGAGATGTCTCAAGCCTACGAGCGTTCTAAGCTTGACAAGGGCGTTAATATTCACACGACGCGTTCCCGAGGGGGAAGTCTAGTCGAGGAGGTCCAGGATAAGCTTAAGAGGTTCAAAGTACGTACGGTTAACATCTTGGTGGGAGGAGAAGATGAAGAACAGAAATAAATAAAAGGATAAAAACAAATATAATTTTTTTAAAAGAAAAATTGTAAATTATTCATTCATTTCTTTACCACGAAATTAAGACACTATCTTCACGCAAACTGCGAGGAAAACAACGATTGATAGGTGAAATTATAGTGTTTTCAAGCCTATGGGAGGTTGAATCTTATGGGCTAAATGGATGTTCATAGTTTCGAAAAGCCCATATAGTTGGAATATCTGTAGACCCTTGTATATCTATACCAATCTCTTCTGCACATATATATACCAAAAATCAATGTTTTTATTTTGTCAGTGTTAAGTGTTAACCTTAAATAAGGTATTTGTATTGGAACATATGTTCTTTGAAACTCGTATCTTTACAAGATCCTCGTGGGTGAACTGGATGGTTCGTTAACTGTTCAGGATTAAAGCTTTCATTTGAACAACGCAAAATGGAACTTGAGATGTCAATATTTAAGAAAAAAAAAAAACTTTTGCAATCGTTAGCATTTAAAACTTCCAAACAATAGCTAGATATACAAAAATGTTGCGTCTTCATCAATTATAAACATAGAAATCAATGTTGAATGGACCACTTGACAGATGATCAAATTAAAGTTAAAAAAGGTATGCCAGAAAAAGACTTCTATGAATTTTCAATTTAAGAGAATAATTACATAAGAAAAAATCAGCAAGCTTATGATTCAATTAAGACTCGTATCCATAACCAACTTGTGTGTTATCCTCACCAAACCCATTTAGCACTTCCTTTTTTCCTCCATCGTCTAACTAGCTATGGATCTTCAAGTATTGTTTGCAAGTTGTAACTGTTACATATATATATTAAAAAAAGGAAATGTTTGCAAATAATTTCAGTTATCCGCTTGATACGGTAAATTATGTTCAAGTGCATATAGTTTTATGGTGAATAATGTCTATGTGCATATGCTGTAAGTTACTGCACGTTAGTTATGTTACTTTTTTGTCAAACTTTCGTTGCGGAAATTAGAACTAAATCGAAATTTAAAATATCACCATATTTATGTAAATTTTGTTGTACATAAATATACCCTGGAAAATGTGGTTCATATGGTCCAAAATCGTTTATGTAATTAGCTTTGGAGTATATAGAGAAACTATATTCTATAAGAAACATATATTACTATATAACCATATTATCCAAGCCCTATGAAAATTTTATCCATCCGTAAAATAAACAAACGGAAAGGGTATCAGTCAAGGCATTGACTCATGATTGTGGTTACAATTGCATGCAATTACATCAGACTAGATTGTAAGACAATAATTTAAAGACAAAAACTTCAATACAGGACGACCTTACCTTACGGTCTTAACGGGGCCTAACCATGCATGCAATGCATCACTAGACACCATTTCTTTATTTCATACACAGTACATATAATATATAAACACACACAAAATCCTTAATTATATATAGTTTATTGAGTTATCAAGGAAAATTCCACAGGTAATCGTCTGCTCCGGTGTAACAATCAGCATCAGAAGCAGCATCAAAGGCAGGAGCACGAGGCGGGCTGAGAAGCATTCCTTCAGCCATGTTCATGAGCACATTAGGCATGTCGAATATCAAATCCTCGTCAATGAATCCATTCATATTTGTATTCTCATTATAACTACCATTCATCATCATCATGTTACTGTGAGACGCACCGCTTGTTTCGCTGTTGTTATTAGCCAATACAATGGCATCCCTAGCAGCGCCGAAAGCAGCAGCGGCTGAAGCGGCTGCGGCTTGGATGTCTCCTGGAGACATGGAGGCTGGAACAGGCAAAGAGGAAGCCGAGTTTGGGAAGTTGAGCTCAGTTTGAGTTCCCTTGAGGGCTAGAGCTGCCACGTCGTATGCTATTGCCGCCATTTCAGGTGTTGAGAATGTTCCTAACCATATACGGTTAGGTTTTCTCGGCTCACGGATCTCAGAAACCCATTTGTTTGAGTTCCTCCTTTGTCTCACTCCCCTGTACAAAGGGTGGCGTCCACCATTGTCTTTCGAGGTTCCTGGCATGTTGATAATCACTAGAACTAGGGTTTTGAGTAGAAAGGAGTAGTGGTGAGTTTGGTGAAGGAGAGGATGAGATCGAAGCCATTTTATGGGGAAGTTAAGTTAGTTGAAGAGTGAAGTAGTAGTGAGGAGTGAAGAGTGAAGAAAGTGCAAACCAGTTATGGATGAAAGAGATTAGGGTTTGGGAGGGATTGATCACAGCTCGGAGATGATGAAGATAAAGCTGTAAAGAAAGCTTTTTAATTGCTCCTCTGGTTGGAAATCGCGTTTTTCTGGGTGGTGGCCAAATAAGTCGCGGATGTATGTATGTTTCTATCTAAAGTAGTCGTTTTCGCCATCACAGGGTCATGAATATATGTGTTTTCTCATGATCTTGACATCACTTTTGTATTGTAAACAATTAAATTAGAAATTACATTACTTCTTTTTGCTTGAAATAAACCAAGGTGAATAACGCTTCAACGTGGCAGCTTGGTTGTTCTAAAAAAAGTTTTACGTACAATGAGTTAATACTACTGAAGAAAACCATGTAGTATACGCCTTGACTTGTTATATCAACATTTGGCCGTGAAACTAAGGAGTAAGTAATGTTTTCGGACCCATATTTTTATTTTATTTAGTTTGTGTTGATTTATATTCGGTGAAACTATATTGTTTAACCCATATATGTATCTATTTAGTTTCATGTATATATCTATGTATACTCCATGTGTATGGTATAATTACGACTAGCTTCTTCAGTTAAAGTCGTCATCAAACTTTAATGTATACATGTATTTCCTATCAATTGCTTACTTTGGGGTTAATGGTTATTTCATAATAGAAATGAATATAGAGTTGACTTGGGGTGAAGGATATTTATATAATAATCACATCCAAAGGTGTCTTAGAAATGCTAAGAACAACTTAGTGTGTGATTACTGTTCGGGTCAATTTATTTGAGGCTTAATTTGTCACTCCACTAACATTAATATATTGTTATAGTTTTTTTCTAGACTATTCTCATTTAAACATGTCAAATCGATTAGGGTAAGAAATCCATTTCACGTCTCGATATACCGCGGAATATTATTTGTCCGCATCAACCATATATATATATATAGATTTTAAAACTTCACCAAACTAAATAAAAAAATTCTATCATGTACTGTTGGTTTGTGCCGGTTGGCACATGATCTACAAGGCATGTCAAATATCTTTGTTAAAATATATAACATCTGAGTTGAGAGGTTGAGTGAACACCGATGATTTTGATGACATTTTTGCAAATGGTAAATCAAAGTATCAAACATTTATAATGATGTAATGTAAGTTATTTGACAACTAGGCACTAACTATTAGTAATTAAGCTTTAGTGTATTGGGATAATACAATTTAGATATACATATATATGTCAACCAAGCTAACACCCAACTTGAAACAGTCAATCTGATTCGAATTCATATATATAGTACGTAGTGTAATCCTCTGGGTTATGAACCTTATGTGGTATGGGCTCAAATATTTTTATATATAGTAGTAGCTGTTGGTAGAGGTTTTATGGAATCCAAGTGAATAAATTCATTACATTTTTGAATATTAATGTATTGATTATCTTTTTCGATATTAGGTACTTTTAAGGAGTAATAAAAGCTGATGTCAATCAATGATGTTTTTGGTTAACACTGTTGGGAAAAATCCTACTGCAATGGTCATTGTAGGTTACGAGAGTTAGTATTGTGTTTGGTTCATGGTCAATAATTTTTCTACAACTAGGTTGTAAAATCGAATAATGGCCGGATAGCTTAATGTTTTTCTAACAAAATCTATGTCCAATTGTCTTTGATCTTAGTTTTCATGCTATATACAGTCTTAAAGGAAAATTGTTATATTATTATAGCAGTCGGTAAATCCTTTCTAAATAGAAATAGTGGCAATATCAGGATTCCATCTTCCCTACAAATTTGCAAGCTACTACAAAAAAGATAATATAGACATATATATTAAGATAATGTTATAACACATATCATATATGAATTCTTATACCGGCCCATTAAGCTCATCAGGGCATTGTACTTAACCTAGATTCCCTATGTACTCTATATATACATTCCAGTGATTAATAAAGTTTCTAAGTTTTCACAACACGTTATCAGCACGATAAGACTCTCTGAGCGAAAAACCCTAATAAATCCGGCCATCACCAAAACCCTAAAAGAAGTCGAAACTTAAAAGACGCATATCTTCCAAACCGTGAGGAACCAGAAGACGATCTACATATCAAATCGAAGCCCTCGACGAGACGAATCTACTGGTGAAAACCGTTTGTCGATCCAACGTCGGACGCGCCCTCACGCACACTTACAGTACACGACGATCAACCAAAAAAAAAAAACCAGATCCGAGTTTTTCCTTCTTCAACCAGCAGCTTCTCCAGTTTTGGTGATCAATCCTTGGAATTTGTAGCGGCTAACTGAGGTCTATTAGCTCCCAGTTTCATTAGCCTGTCAGAAATCCAAAGGTGGAAAAGGTATCTTCTAAAACTGAGAGCCATAGAACCTGTTGTTTAAACACTTCAAAACCCTATAAAAAAAAAAAAAAAAAAAAAAAAAATCGATCTCTAATTGATTGAAAGTGTTTGATACTCTGATGATTGATTGATAACTTGTTGATTGATTGTTTAAATTACAAGTTTATGCATGTTCAAAGGTTTTAAACTCGTTTTATAAAACCCTAATCTACAAAAACCTAACAACCGTTTTTGGCCATGTTTATGGCATAAACCTATTCGATTTTCTTCATGTTTAATAAGCTTGTTGCAGCTTATTTGATTGTTGATTCTCTTGCTTGAAACACTTGATTGAATAAACTAAGAAAATCAACCCTAAATCCTAAGCTTGATTCACGATTTTGTAATCTTCAAAATCGTAAGTCATAATGCTTAAACCCTAGTCCTTTTCACGTGATTTCTTTGTTGTCCTTGTGAAATTATTAAAACCATCGACCACAGATCCTATAGATCTCGAAATCACATCCAAAATTTGTTTTCCAAACCGTTAAAACCCTAGATAAAACCCTAATCATATTCGGCTCCCCTAGGGTTCCTCCTAAACCGCCTAAAACCGGCTAAACCTGGTTCTCATTAACCGAAATTATATTCGGCTTTAACCGATTAAATCACAGCTATTAAACTGACATCATGTTCGGGGTAACTAAAACCATACCCTTTAAAATTTACTATTTCCGAGAAAGTTCCCTCTAATAGAAAGTTTCCTCATATAAAAACTTTCCTCATATAGAAATTTTCCCGACATAGAAACTTTCCTCATTTAGAAAATTACCCAAATTAGAAACTTTCCAAATTTAGAAACTTTCCTAAAATAGAAATATTCTCAAAATAGAAAGTTTCATCATCAGCATTCAAAATTTTCTCAAAACAATCCCTAACAAAATCAATCTCATGTTTCAGATGTCAAACATTCAGAAATGTGAATTCGAGGCCCTTCACGTCTCCGGGGATAACTACCTCGAGTGGGTCCTAGACATGCGCTTGTTCCTTGCATCGAAAGAACTCGATGCGTGTATTACCGACGGTAACACCGCATCCCGTAAGGGACAGTCTCAGGCGATATGTCACATACGCCATCATCTGGCCCCGAGCCTTAAGCAGCAATATCTCACTCTTGAGAATCCACTTGAATTGTGGCAAGCGCTGAAAAAGCGATATGACCATCAGAAAATGGTCCAGTTGCCTCAGGCAGATTTCGACTGGAAGAACCTTCGGTTCCAGGACTACAAATCCGTAGATGATTACAACAACGAACTCTTTCGTATTGTTGCCATCCGGAAACTCGGTGGCGAGGATGTGACAGATAATGATCTCCTCGAGAAAACATTATCCACATTCAGCACAGAGAATGTTGTGCTCCAACAACAATACCGTGCAATGAAACACACATTCTACGAAGACTTGTTGTCCTGTCTTCTCCTCGCTGAGAAGAATAACCAGCTGCTTATGAGGAACAGCGCTATGAGGCCCCTGAGATTGGCTCCTGTCCCTGCTTCTCGTCAAGAGTCCTACCATGTTCAACCCGATAGATCCTCAGATCACCGCCGTGGACGTGGTAATGGACGTGGTAATGGCCGAGGACATGGACGTGGAAGACGTGGACGCGGACATGGTCGTGGCAACCGACCTAACCTCAGTTATGGTCCTGGTCGTGGTCGAGGCATCACCAAGCCGACCCGCCACACCAACCCCGATCACTCTGCTTGTACCAGATGTGGGATGTTCAACCACCCAACAAAGCAATGTCGCACCCCCAAGATCCACTGCGATCTATACCAGAAGTACGGAAAAGCTCCTGCTGAAGCCAACATGACTCAGCCAGTCGATGCTGCTAACCTGGAAGGTGAAGACCTCCTTGATGATGAGAACACCACAAACGAGCAGACCGACCCCATGGACTATGAAACAGCTGATCTCCTCGATTAATTCAATCATCTGAAACTCTGATACAATTTGATTTTGTTCTTTATTTTTTTCATTTTGGGATTTGTTTCATTTTTTTTCCATTTGCCTTTATTCTCAGACACTGCTTTACTTTATGATTTATCACTTTTTCTGAATTCCTCAATACTGAATTCTATCTTCTATTCATAATAAAGCACACCAGCAAATGGAAACCATAGTCGTAGATAGTGGATCCAGCCACACTATCTTAAGAAACAAAAGTTACTTCATAAACCTAACCTATCAAACCGCAAATATTAGCACCATCGCGGGTCCCTCAAACCTTATCGAAGGATATGGCCATGCCTATGTGTTGCTATCAAATGGCACACAACTTGAAATACCAGATGCTCTATATTCTCCTAGTTCGAAGAGAAATCTTCTGAGCTTCAAGGATATAAGACAGAATGGTTTTCACATAGAAACCCAAGATCAAGGGAACAAAGAATCCCTCCTAGTCACTAAAACCGTAGACGGCCATAAACAAATCCTCGAAACCATACCCGCTCTCTCTACTGGACTTTACCATGCTAAAGTCAGTATGATTGAAGCTAATACCACTCTCAAAGCCCGGTTTACTGATTATACTATTTGGCACGACCGGCTCGGTCATCCCGGTGCAAATATGATGCGTAAACTAATTCAAAACTCTCAAGGGCATACCCTCAAAGAAAACCGAGCTTATCCTCAACACCTCATGTGCACAGCTTGTTTTCAAGGCAAATTGATCACTCGGCCCTCACCAGTTAAAATCTCTAAACAAACACTTCATTTCCTAGAAAGAATCCAGGGCGATATCTGTGGACCTATACATCCATCTTCCGGACCATTCCGGTACTTCATGGTCCTTATAGACGCATCGACCCGTTGGTCATATGTTTGTCTCTTGTCCTCTCGGAACCAAGCCTTCGCTAGGTTCTTGGCCCAAATCATAAAATTGCGGGCCCATTTCCCTGACTTCCCACTAAAGACTACCCGCCTTGACAATGCTGGTGAATTTACCTCACAAGCGTTTAATGACTACTGTATGGCCATGGGGGTAACCGTGGAACATCCTGTAGCACATGTCCATACTCAAAATGGATTGGCTGAATCATTCATTAAACGCATTCAATGGATAGCCCGACCATTACTCATGAGATCAAATCTCCCGGCCTCAGCATGGGGACATGCAGTATTACATGCTGCTGAACTCATACGCATCCGGCCATCTAGTGAACACAAATATTCCCCATCCCAACTACTCTCGGGTCATGAGCCAGACATCTCCCATCTCAAAACATTTGGGTGTTCAGTATATGTACCCATTGCTCCACCACATCGAACCAAAATGGGACCTCAAAGAAGGATGGGAATATATGTTGGTTTTGACTCTCCCACCATCATAAGATATCTCGAGCCAACCACTGGAGATCTCTTCAAGGCCAGATATGCGGATTGCCAATTCGATGAATCGGTATATCCCTCTTTAGGTGGTGAGACAAACAAGCTGGTCAAAGATCTTTCATGGAATCAAACATCATTAAATTGGCAAGATCCTCGGACTCTAGAATGTGATTCAGAGATCCAAAAGATTATTCATTATCAAAAGCTAGCTAATCAATTGCCAGATTCCTTTGCTGACCCGACCAAAGTAACCAAATCGTACATCCCAGCTTGTAATGCACCAGTACGAATAGCTGTCCCAACGGGACAGACCCAAGTTGCTACAGAGTCTGCACCACGTCTCAAACGGGGCAGACCTCTCGGTTCCAAAGATAAGAATCCCCGGAAATCAAAGAAAGGTGCAATAACTGAAACCGGGATTCCTGCAATATCAGACATAGCCGCGGCTGAGACTCAATCTAATGAACCCTCAAGGGAAGTTCGGGACGCCGAATCTCCAGGTTCAGAAGATAACAATGAGATCTCCATCAATTACAATATGTCCGGAATACAATGGAATCGAAAAGAAGTCGACTTAAATGCACTCTTTGCATACAAAGTAGCACTTGATGTTGCGCTCACGCAAGAGGATATAGAACCCACGTCAATAACACAGTGTACACATCGAACAGATTGGCTAAAATGGAAAGAAGCCATAAACGTGGAGTTAAAGAGTCTCAAACTCAGAAACGTGTTCGGTCCGATCATCCGGACCCCATCACACATCAAGCCAGTGGGCCATAAATGGGTCTTTGTGCGCAAAAGGAACGAACTCGGTGAAGTCGTTCGATACAAAGCACGGCTTGTAGCACAAGGATTCTCACAGAGACCCGGAATCGATTATGAGGAGACTTATTCTCCAGTGGTGGATGCAACAACATTCCGATTCCTCATAAGTCTGGCCATAAGAGAAAATCTTGATCTGCGGTTAATGGATGTTGTAACCGCATATCTCTATGGGCCCCTGGACAACGAAATATATATGAAACTCCCAGATGGCATTGAACTAAAAGACAAAAATGCATCTCGAGATCAATACTGCATCAGGCTGAACAAATCCTTGTATGGACTGAAACAAAGTGGGCGTATGTGGTACAACCGCCTCAGCGATTACCTCATCAAAGAAGGCTACAAAAATGACCCCATCAGTCCATGCATCTTCATCAAGAAGTACTCAAACAAAGGATTTGTAATCATAGCAGTATACGTGGATGATCTAAACATCCTCGGAACATCTGGTGAGATCTCCCAAACAGTTGACTGCTTAAAAGCAGAATTCGAAATGAAAGACCTAGGCAAAACAAAGTACTGTTTGGGATTACAACTTGAGTACATCAAAGGAGGAATCCTTGTGCATCAATCGGCTTATATCGAAAAGGTACTCAAGCGATTTAATATGGACCAAGCTCACCCATTGACCAGCCCAATGGTAGTTAGAAGCTTAAGTGATGACCCTCTTGGTCCCAAAAAGGATGATGAAGAAATCCTTGGTCCTGAAAAGCCATACCTCAGTGCTGTAGGAGCGTTAATGTACCTGGCTAGTCACACTAGACCAGACATATGTTTCGCCGTGAACCTCCTCGCTCGATATAGTTCATCTCCAACTCAGAGGCACTGGAACGGTATAAAACATCTCCTAAGATACCTTCGAGGTACTCAAGACTTAGGACTCTTCTATACTAACCAAAATAAAGATGGGTTAGTCGGCTTCGCCGATGCAGGATATCTATCAGATCCGCACACTGCCAAGTCTCAAACTGGCTACGTTTTTACGCATGGAGGAACAGCCATCTCTTGGAGATCAATGAAGCAGACACTCACTGCCACTTCATCAAACCATGCTGAAATCCTAGCCATTCATGAGGCTAGTAGGGAATGCGTCTGGCTGCGCTCCATGACTCAGCACATCCGCAGAGATTGTGGTATGGACGAAGACACACAGCCCACGGTGATGTATAAAGACAACGCGGCATGCATAGCTCAGCTCAAGGAAGGATATATCAAAGGAGATCGGACGAAGCACATTCTACCGAAGTTCTTCTCAACCTCAGACTGGCAGAAGGACGGCACTCTCAGCGTTCAGCAGGTCCGATCCAGTGAGAATTCAGCTGACCTCTTCACCAAATCATTGCCTACTTCAACACACCGGAAGCTCGTCAAACAGATAGAAATGTATAGACTTAGAAATCTGCAGTGATGCTACAATCAGGGGGAGTAATGCGTGTTGTACTCTTTTTCCTTCACCATGGTTTTGTCCCACTGGGTTTTTCCTGGTAAGGTTTTAATGAGGCAACATTCCCCAGCGCATTATCGAGATCCCGATTGAGTAGCTGACCCGGTTCACTCGTCCAAGGGGGAGTGTTATAACACATATCATATATGGACTCTTATACCGGCCCATTAGGCCCATCAGGACATTGTACTTAACCTAGATTCCCTATGTACTCTATATATACATTCCAGTGATTAATAAAGTTTCTAAGTTTTCACAACAGATAACACATTTTCTATACAATTTGTTTTTACTCGGATTTTTTTTTTGTTGTTTTCTGATTTAATATAGACATCTTTTAGAGTATTGTATTTAAAGAGATCAATAATAAAACAAGTACATATGTTGAGAATAATTGAATTTGAATTTTTTTAAAATACATTTCTTAGCTTTGAGATGTGTAATACAATAGCTAGTAATACGTATGTTGAAATGTGTAAAGCATGACAGCAGGTAGCCTGTTGTAGCAAGCTTTGACATGTCATCTTCTTTATAGTTGAGAATTTGAGATGTTGCACGTTGGGCTTTAAACTTGTAATTTGCTTTAAAAGTTTCCAAACAAACACAACAAACGTAACAAACATAACAAAAAGAAAAAACAAAAAGAACCTGTAGAACTGCTTTCGATTTCAACAAAACATTCATTTAGAAGAAAGGTTTCACAAGAACAAACACCTCAGAGAAAGCTTCATCGAGGGGAGTCTTCTCTTTTTACCACTCTATTAAACAAAACACAACAAGAACTAGTAAAGATAATTCCGTTGTTTTGAAGTAAAAAAAAACACAAAAACAAAAACGACGATATGAAAACTACGATCCTTTAGCTTCATCCTCAGTATTTGTAATCCTTAACATGAAGACTCTCTGCTGCACCTTCACCGAGCTGAGCATCACCTTTGTATGCACCAAGTGTAGCCTCAGAGTTAGCCTTGCACCTAACCAAGAACGCTTCTTGCGCCTTCTTCACATTCTCCTCTTTCCCTCCCCAAGTCTTCAACGTGCTCTGCTGCAACGCCCTTCCAAACGAAAACGACAGCGACCAAGGCTTCTTTGTCTTAAGCTGGTTCATCGCGTTCAGGTTTCTCGTCGCCTCTTCCTCGCTCTGTCCTCCCGACAAGAACACAATGGCCGGAACAGCTGCTGGCACTGTTCTCTGAAGTGCACGGACCGTGTGCTCTGCGATCACCTCTGGTGCAACCTTGGCGCTCTCTGATCCTGGAGTCACCATGTTTGGCTTCAACAAGGTTCCTTCTAGCAAAACATGGTGATCGCTCAGGGCTTTGTAGCAAGCTGCAAGGACACGCTCTGTAACTGCAGCACACTTGTGGATGTCATGAGAACCATCGACAAGAATCTCAGGCTCCACAATCGGTACAAGACCGTTCTCTTGACAAATAACAGCGTATCTAGCTAAACCATAAGCGTTCTCGTGGATGGCTAACTCTGATGGCTCATTCTGACCAATCTTAAGCACCGCACGCCACTTGGCGAAACGAGCACCAGCCTCGTAGTACTTCTTGCAACGTTCACCAAGACCATCAAGACCCTGTGTGGTCGTCTCACCATTGGTTCCAGCGAGCTCAACTGTGCCCTTATCAACCTTAATACCAGGCAAAACTCCTCCTTTTTTCAATATATCCACAAAAGGTGTCCCTTTTCACACACACACAATCAAAATCATCCAAAAGAGACAAATTAGAAACAAACCCACAAAAGCAACTATACACTATGAGAGAAAGATACAGACTTTTTAAAGTATAACATACCATTAGAGCTCTTTTGGTAGAGGGTTTCTTCAAAGAGGATGACACCACTGAGGCAAGGAAGAGCGCCTGGAGTAGTGAAGAGAAGCTCACGGAGAGCTCTTCTGTTGGACTCAACGTTCTCGACGTTGATGCTCGAGAGTCGCTTTCCAATGGTGCCGGTCGATTCGTCTGCCGCAAGGATACCCTTTCCAGGTGTGCCGATGTAGGCAGCGTTAGCGATCAGCTCATCTGCGAGTTTTCATATTCGACGCATAATCAATTACCAGACTCAGATTTCAAACAATCAATTGGTGATTTTAACAGAGAATCTATCAACTAGATCTTCAATACTTGGAACAAAAAACGAAGAAGTTACATCAAAAACAGAAACTTTAACAGAGCAAAACGCAGATGAGAGCTTAACGCAAACGAATCGTGCACAAGATTGATAAACAGAGACGAGATTACTTACCGGCGTATTTGCTGGTGAAGGAAGACATGACTGCAGAAATCGATGGAGAAAATTTGGATAGAGAGAGAGAAAGAGAGAGTTGGGAAGAGGAAAGTGGGGTTTTGGTGTTTTATAGGTGGAAGTGATGGGAAGTTTCGAGAAAGGTTGATTTTGAGGAGGTGAGATATTTTGGACTCTTCTCCAAGGAAAATGTTTTCAGCCGTTGGATGGTTTCGATGGCAGTTTTTTTTAACCGCGGGAAGTTACTGTGTTTATCCCTTTGTGTTTTAACTTCAACTACTAACTAATTTGAAGAGTGACTTCGGCCCAGTGGCCCAGTGGCTCTACGACATTGTAATAGTAGATGGATCCCGATACATTAACAGAATCCAATTTTAATATATAAGAAAACATCCAAAACCGGAAAAGATTTAGACTAAAAATAACTATTCCAGAAATTTCATTATTAAAAGGAAAGAAAGAAAAACAGATTTTGATGTAACTATTATATTCATTGAAATATTATAACTAGATATATGACATTTTTCAGGAAACAAATGTGCTCTAAATATAATAATAGTGTTTCTTGTAGAAGTGGTTAATAAATTTATTAATACTTTTATACTAAGAGATCTGGGTTTCGAGTCCCGGAAAATACGATTTATTATTAATTTACAGATTAATGGAGACAACCTTATATGAGATTTTCAACGTGGTGCATGAAGAATTGTTTGGCGTATTTGCAAGCGGGAGACTTGTTTGTTGTTAAATTGTCGATATAAAAATTCTCATAATTTATAATAAAATAATAAATCAGTGTTAAAAAAATATAGTGTATCTTATGATACTCGTTTGTTTCGTTTTTATAATGTTTTAGATATTCTTTTATTTCACTTTATTTTTTCTTCCAAGTTTTTGATGATTACTTTTTTACTAGATATCTAATTTTATATCCTTTAGCTAGAAAAAATATCTAATGACTTTTATGTGAAAAGACACAAAAACATAAGTAAAGATCAGTAAATTACATTTCAAAAAAAAAATACTTCTATGATTCTAACTCTTTCCACTTTCGGCTTTTGGAAATATCAAAAAAGTCACTATCACCATTGTCAAAACAACAAAAAAAACTTATCATCTAATATTTTTAGAAGATATTATTTGTTTTTTCATTATTATAGGACTTTTCCCTATTAGAAAAATAGAGTAAGTAAACTAATGCAATTAAAAAAAACTTGTTTTCTTTTATTCCTGAGATATTGCTTGGGAAATTATTAAAATGGCCTTCAGGAATCGAAGAAACTATATGCTGATATTGTTAAGTGCAATCTTTGAATGGGAAACCATATGCTGATATGTCCTATTTAGTATTTAATATTTATTCACATGAAAAGTATAAAAAACATTACAATGGATATCAAAGGGGCAATCATATAGACCTCGTGCAGTTATGCCTAAAATATTCAAAAATTGAAATTTACTCATTTCCCTTAAGCATCCCAAGCCGTGAAAATAACGTATAAACAAATTAGGCTATAAAAAAGGCGTATGTATTTATATACGTTCCATCTTATGCATAATTCGTCTTCCACGGTTTACAATATAAATTCAGTTTTGATGACGTGATATTGAAGGCAAAGCTTCAACGATATCAATCCCAGCCATAGCCCATAGATTGTGACAATTCTATATAGAGATTAGTCTTTTTCTCCATTTTTTATTTTAATTTTTGACTTCTTCTCCATTTTTTTTTTGTTGTAATAAAGAAAGGAAAAGAGGGTTGTTACATGTATCCCGTGAAAAGAAATGGAAGATTCATGAGAACCTCGAGTCCTCGTGAAACAGCCAAACAAATAAAAGAAAGGAAAAGCGACAACGTAAATTTAATAGCTTATTTGGACATAGTGATAGTTTATCATATTTTCGGGTGGATATACATTCAAAGTATGCACCAAATTTCTGAATTCGTGGGGGAGTTCCAAGCGTTGATATATACCAGGTTAGGAGCTAGCTTTCGACTTGGATCTTGATGTAAAAAGGGTCTTCAAGCATATATTTCTTCACCGTTGGACATTATATTGTTAGAAAAAAAAATGTACATGACAAAAGGTGGGTGTCACTCCGAAGATTCTCTGATGTTTAAAGTCAAACCGAAACCACACAACTCCGGTAAGTAACAAAACACAAACGGTAGTGGTTTTGAACCGGGCCTAGACGTCCGTGTGGTAACATCTGCTGTTCAACACAATAACATATTTTGTATATATTTATCAGTCATGTCAGATGTTTCTGAATGATGTAAACGATGTATAAATATTCTTACAAATTAAATAATATTTATAGAGAACACTGGATCTGGGCCAAGCCCATTAAAACATTTGTTTTAAGCCTCCAAATTTTTTTTCCAATTTAATTTATAAATTTTTTTTTAAAAAAAAAATTGTTTTTTTATAAAACCAATTAAACCCATTTTTGTTTTTGTTTCAAGCTCCCAAAATCTCATCCAGCCCTAAGTGCAAGAAATGGCTAAAAGTAATACGTCCAAAATACTTGATCGAATATTTCTACCCTGATCGAAAATTTGTCACCAGGTGTCAAAATGGCTAAAAGCATGTCCAAGACTTCATCACAATCTCAACACACATGATCTATTGGAATATTGGTATTGCGAAGTTACATGAAACAAAAAAACGAACTGAAGCCAAACTTACGTTTGTCCTAAACAAGAACAATCAAGTCTCAAAAAAAAAAAAAAAAGAAGAACAACAATTAGATAACGAATAGTTATGTTAAACTTGAACTATCGTTAAAAAATAAATTAAAACCATCAGTAACAAAACAAAATGTTTCGTTTTATTATTTGTTTTTCACTTTTTAGAGACACAAATGACAAGAGAAAACGAATGTTTGGCTTCTCTTAAACCAATCTTATTCTCTTCTTGGTCTTCCTCAAGCCATAATCTGCTGTCTAATCCACTCCTCCTCCTGAACATAAACACAGCACAAGGAGGAGACGAGGAGGAGGAAGAAGAGGACGACGAAGACGTCGTTTTGGACGAAGAAGTCGAAGAAGACGACGCCGTTTCTCTGAAAAACCAGTCGTGCAAGTCCCACATCATGTCGATGAGCATTCCATCGAAGAACATCGTCTGGTTCCCTCTGAAATTCCACTTGAGCTTCTTCACCTGAAACACTTTCCTCTTATCCACCCAAACCGACATCGTTTCAGGACTTTTCGATTTCCACAAATACCCTTCCTCCCCACCACCACCGCCTACTCCTCCTCCGCCGCCGCATTGGATTTGAATCTCGTGTTTACTTCCGGCGTCGGAGAATTGAGCCTTTGTCAAGAGCCAACAAGTCCCGGAGTATCTCTCTGTTCTCGAGACCCGCCACGATGACTTATCTCGCCGGAGACTCTCGTGTTCAATGTCGCCGACTCGGAGGGTAATCTCGGAATTAACCACGACGGCGACGGAGAATCCACTGGTTGGTTCGGGTCCGCCGTTCTCGTACTCTGCCTCCGATAGATCCCAGAGTATCTCGGCGTTGAGCAAACCGGAGGAAGAAGTCAACTTTCTTGACCCTTTGGGTTTCCTAAGGGAAACAGAGTATGATTTCGGCGGCGTTGAGATCACGACGGTGAGATTGTCCGACCAGGTGAGAGAAACAGAGACGGGTTTGTCGGAGGAAGGGAGATTGGATTTATAAGTGGTAGTTACTGTGTCGGGGATCGAAGGAGGTAATGTCGGAGAGATGTAGGAATGATTTGAAGGACCTGAACAGTACGCATCTGTTACTTTAATGGCGTGTTCGCTGTAACAAGCCGCGAGGCCTCTCATGGTTGACGACTTTTCCTAGAAAAATGATTCCTTTTTTTTTCCCGGAGGAAAAGAAACAGGAATTTAGAGAAAGAGATGAAGAAAAGGAAAGAAATTTCAGAGGAAAAAAGCTTTGATTTTTCAGGGTAGGTTGAAATTTGTATGGATTTTTCTAACAGAACAATTGTGTTTTTCCCGGGAAAGAAAAAACAGAGTGAACGTGAGAAAGTTAGAAAGAAACTTTAGAGGAAATGGGGAAAAACAACATTTAGAAGAAGAAGAAAAATAAAAAGAAAGTTTTTAATTTTCGAGAGAAATTCGAAAAATGGGTTATAAGTTTTGTTGTGGATGCTATACGTGTGAATAAAGTGAGATACTCAAAGGAAGGAAGAACATTTTTTTTAGTTTTTTGGGGAGGTAGACAATGTTTTTAGAAAAGAAGATAAAGTTTTTGGTGAAAAAGGAGCAATGGAGTTCACAGATTCTGTCTTGGGAGTTTAGAAACGACGTGGAAGAACATAGACGTGACAGAGTGAATAAAAAAATTCAGAGAGATTTTCCCGGGAAAAGAATATAGAAAATTTGAGGGTTTTAAGTTTTGGTACGGAAATTGCAGAGAAGATATGGAGAAGAAAGAGAGGAATTCTTCTTGTTATATTTGGATATGTATTTTCATTCGGCCATGTGAAGATGTCTCTCTTCTGACTTTTTTGAGTTTCGTCCGGTCTGTGTAAAATATTTATTTTAGTTTCAGTTGAAATAAAACTTAAACAAATCGATCATTAAATGTAAGTTAGATATGGAAAAGATAAGCAAACGACAAGAGATCGAGAGATATTTTAGATATTTTGTACCATGTTCCTTGCATTATCAACATGTAACAATGTATTACTCGTCTCTACGCTTGATATTTGTCATACTACTCATATACAATCAATAAAAAAATTTAGTTTTGAATAGTATATTGTTTGTTAGATTTTTGTTTATAATTAGAAATTTATTTTTCAATGAATAGCTAATGAAAATATTCTACATATATTAAAAATAATCACGGCTCCAACAATGCAGATTTAAAAAAAAATCTGTCTATATTAGAAATTAGAATCGTTGATTATATCCAATATACTTAGAACAGATTTAACCTTTTATCTCTTGTATCCTATATATACTTGATTAATGAGAACAACTCATGGAGATCATCCAAATTACCTGATGCACCAGAAATTTCTTTAATAAATAGGGATATTAACTGAACACTACTAAATTACACCAAGTTTTAAAAATTGGTTGGGAGCGAATGACCCGTGCTAATTCATGTGGCTCCGCCAATGTGCATTGGAAAAAAACAAATTATTTTGAGTCGTAACAGAACGCCTTTATGAAAATTGAAAGAACGAACTATAGATTGGTCTTTCAATATACTATACATTTCTATAAATTAATTCACAGAAACAATTCTCTTCATTTTTAGTTGCCGTCAAAAATTAAACTTTAATTTATAGGTTATTGGACGAAAAAAATGCCAAAATGATTTGACCTGGATTTATACAGCCTAGGTTAGTAGGTTGTAATAAGATATGTGTGTTTGGTATTTTATATTCGTTATTTTAAGAAAAGTACAGAATAGTAGTATGCCGGTGACGTCTTCGAAAGTATGACAATTATGCAATCGTACAAAATAGAATACGAGGGAGGGAAAGAGTTGAGTCATTGGACGATTGATTGATAAAATCTTAAACTTATCGAATCTTGAAAGACATCTTTAGTAATAACGTCAAGTTTTATGGTCCAAACACAAAGAGAAACTAGATTAGCTATTTATAAAGTTATTAATAGAAAAAAGAGTCTATTTTTTTTCTTTTTGTCAACAGAAAAATGAAAGACATCTTTAGTATTAACGTCAAGTTTTATGGTCCAAACACGAAAAGAAACTAGATTGGCTATTTATAAAGTTATTATTAGAGTATGTACATCAGGAGGGGATTAAGAGGGGTTTATGACACAGTTTTTGAGACAAAAAATCTTAATATTAAAAAGACAGTATCATATCATCTAAAATGAAGCATCCTGATTAGTCGAAAATTATAATTTTTGATTAAAAAAAAACAAACTTAAACAAAAAAAAATGTTATTATATTCTAATGAACTCCTTTCTTAGGGATTCACTGATATACATGCTCTTAGAAAAAAGTCTATTTTTTTATTTATGTCAACAGAAAAAAGAATCTATTTAGACGTATGTTTTCACGGAAAGAAAATATAGATAGACATGAAACGAAACATGATAAATGAACAAAAAAACAAATCACATCTTGGACTTGCATTTCTCAAAGTCTTCATAAATATTTTTAAACGGCATCATGAGTCATTAAAGACGTCACGAAAACGATCGAGTCTACTTAAAAAGAAACTATTGGATAAGCTCTTTTACCACAAACGAAAAAAAAAAAAATGGATAAGCTCATTAAAGCTTACTAGTCAATTAATCATCTAACCCACACAACTACACCAACAACAATAATTAAAATCTCTTTTTCCGCACTTTATAGTTTTTTTCGAAAACAGGGGTGCTTAATGTGGCTCTTGAGATAAACACGTTTTGGAAGATTCTCATTCAGAAACTCTTGGTGTGCGGAAAGGTTCAGCCATATTATGGTAATATATTTCTTCGAGCCATTTGGCTGTTTTTCTCTTTGTCTTCTTCATTACACACGAAAGAGGCAAATTTGTAAATGAGCAAAGGTTATAGATTCTAATGTATTTCTAAACATATTTTTCCGTGAAAAACAGCTATATATAATACTAGAATAATCAGCTCTTATTCACGTGAAAATTGAGTTTTCCAAAAATGAAGAAACAACGAAGAGAGAGGGACCATATGAAAATTGGGTTTTCCTCTGCTTTTCTAGCTCCCTCCCTCCACCTACAAAGCCTTATACACTTAGCTTAACTATCACACTTTTTTGCGTTTCACTCTTTTTCTCTCCAATAAATGTTAATTTGATTTGCTCTTTCCCCAATCTACAAGCAAGCAAAGGGTTTATGATAAAGGTAACTTCCATTCTATAAGGATTCACATGATAACCAAAACTACACTCAAAATGAGATATGATAAAACAACATTTCTGAACACAAATAAGGATAATAGTCTCACCTTCTACTAGATCAAATCCGTGGAAACAAGGGAGCACAGATGTGGCCGTCAATATAATTGTTCATTAAACTTGGATCAAATTTAGGTGGGCGGCCCAAATGATATTTGGTTTAGGTAAATATGAGAATTCATTAGGATAATTGAGAATTTGAGAAAAAAATTGTAGATAGGAAGCTATTTGAGCATTTGATGCAGCATGATTACAGGACGGGAATGTGAGATCAGAGAGCCCTAGAATGACCTCAAAATACAGATTGACTAACAGCATTGGCGGAGATAGAGAAAATTATAACTGAAGGCAAAACCATTTAAATTTACAAATACATTATATATTTGTTCACTTTATTTCTAAAAATGTTTCTTAAGAAAATTAATAATAATAATAATGCACAAAAAGTAAGCAAATTTTTGTTTTTGATTTTTTGTACTTTGATTTGTTGTACTTTGATCAGTAAGTTACAAAATTCATCAAATAAGTTACTGTATATGTTGAATATTTTCAAAAAACTTTAATTATTTTGAAAGAAATTTATTACCATTTACAAATGATTAGTCTTATATAAAACATGATTTTATAAATTTAATTGCACTAATTTGTTTAAAAGACTTACAGTTCAAATCTGGTTATTTTGCATAAACTGATAAGAATATATAAAAAAGTGTTACTATTTATATATGTTAACTCAGAAGTGCTAATATCATATGTGATATGTTTATATATTTAGTGACTAACATCTAAAATTTATAAATTAATATAGATAATCTTAAGAGAAAAAGCTATAGATTAATATATTTTTATTAATTATTTTAAAATGTTAAATTAATCTTTTTGGCCATCAAATTAACTCAATTGTATAGAAAAAAATCGATCAAATTAAGTAACTAAACAAAAATGGAGGCAAATATATAATTTGATATGGGAGCAATAATTATTATCCTTAATAAAATACACTAATTATTTGATATGACTAAGAGAAACAAGTTTCCTGCTTGATTGCATTTCCAACTTCCAAGCTCTGCAACGAATTCTTGGTCAAGCAAACTGCATGTACGATCGGACCATTGGTCTCACTGTTGGCTAGAGGAATGGTCAGGTAAGAAGCCCCCTTGAACATCCATTGACCCGTTTCTTGACCGAAATATTCCTCAAATATTTCTCCGCATAATATACATGCGCATTGGTCCTCATCAGCAGCTACGCCTGGACCATCCTCAACAGCACTCTCAGGTTCACTCAGAACTTCCTCATCTTCAGGTTCACTCAGAACTTCCTCATCTTCAGGTTCTAGCTCTCCAGCTCCTCCTGCTATCCAGTCATCAGCCTTTGGAAACCAAAACCTACTTTTACTGTCTGTGCCACTTAACTTAAGCTTCTTCTTATCGTGCAGCTGCATGTGTCTGTCAAGCTCTTCCTTTTGTTTAAGGCGAACGCCACAGGAGCTGCAGAGATGAGGAAGGTCATCAAAGAGACTACTAATCACCGAGGGGTGAAGTTCACGGATTTTGTCTGCCCTAAACTTCAATCCTATTAGGTTTTCTGGTTCCAGTTTTGCTGTTTCCACTGGTGCTACCTTCGGGGCACTGGATTGACCCTTCTTCACCAAAGCCAATGGTTGAGCATCTGATGGAACCACAGATACAGACGTAGAGCTGTTGGTAGAATGATCAGGACTATGATCCTGTGTTATGAAAGGAGCTACACATTGTACGAGAGATGGCAGCTCCTTCTTTGAAGCAGATATCAAGCCCTGTGAAACTAAGGAGCTCAAGAGGCACGACAGAGGATCTGAGGCCTTACTATTCTCTTTTGATGTCTGTGCTGATGTGACACTAGCAAGAGACACTGCGCACGAACCAAGTGGTGCGGAGGATTGTTCAACTTTTAAACGAGCTAATAAATTGTCACCAGCCACTGGAATTGGCAATGATGGTGGCAAAGTCTTAGACTTAAAGGCTGCTGACAGGATTGGTGCCATTGGGTTAACCTCATTTTGAGAACTCTCTTCCTTGATCGCACCACAAGTTGAGTTATTAGAAAGGATTCCACTCTTCATTACAGCTTCCAGCAAGTCAGCCATGTTTGGTTGTCCAGTAGTTTCTGGAGCAATAGTATGGCCTCGGGCATTTTTAGCTGTTGGCTTAGAGTCAAACTTTTCCACTTGAGATGCATCAGGTAGTTGAAGCGTATTTGTGTTTTTCAACTGACTACTTGAAGTACTTGAAGATAGGGGCCGTCCAGAGTCATCCCTGGGGACACTTTGAGACTTTGCAGGAAACCGGGAAGCCCTAGGATCACGTTGAGGGAGGGAGTGAGCTCTTCTACAATCTTGCTTAGTCACATTCTGTTTCGAAGTTGAATCATGTAAAGGGGATTGTCTATCTGACACAGTTCCTGGCAAAATTCCAGAGCTGGCAACCCTAGATTGAGGCTGAATTCCCTTTCTAGCTGCATTAGAGGTTGTACCAATGGAAGGAAAAACTTCTGAATCATGCAAAGACCTAGGAGAAGACGTCCAGCGGCCAAAAACATTTGGATCTTTTTGCTCGCAGGAATATGAATTTATCGAGGTCGCCGGATCAAACCTTGAGTCGAGAGCTGGAAACCTTGGTCGTTTTAAGAGGTGATTTTCAGATTCCTGCAAGATGGAAACAGGTTAAAAGCCAAGAAACTGAATGAGATACATCATAATAAAAAGTTTCAGACACTATTATCATAGCTAACCAGTCTCTCTGATTCATCTGGTGCCTGAAGCTCATTCTTTGGGTTGATAGTGGCTACATCTGTTTCGGATAACCTTGAGTGCAGGTCCCACATAAACTCTTCTTCCTCAGAGTTTTTCCAACTATCATAAGGCACACCTATATTTCTACTGGGACCACTTGATTCCGAATTTTCTAGTCTCGCAGTAGCGTAGTCGGAAATTCTGCTTTTGGTATGTAACTCATCCCTCTGGTCAGAAATCAGATCAGGACCCCTGCTCATATCTTCGTACCATTGCTTCTCACACCCGTCATCAGTAACCCTTGAACCAACTTTCTTGATCACGGATCTAGAATTATGCGGTAGATCAGAAGCATAATCATATTCCCCTGCTATTGACGCGACATCTTTCTCATAGAGGGGTTCACTAAGTGAGTCTCTTTGAGGACGTCGAATGGTCTGAATTCCAACACACAATCAGTAGACAGAACTTAGATTAAATACTGTAACCATGCCAAGGAAAAATCATCTTACATTTACTTTAGCTGGACCTGCCCACGAGCCTCCAGATGATATGCTTGAAACTCTCTCCAGTCTATCTGAATCCCTAGTCAAATTGGAGATCTCCGGCACATCAGTAACCATTACTTTTGTCTGCACAAAAGAAAACAAAAACAGAATACTCAGCAAACTATTAATGAAGTATTGAAGCTACATTCCGGTATATAACCTCGAGTTTACATTGGGTTTGTCGTCACTAATAAGTTTTAGTGGCAGTTTACTTTGCTTACCCGTCCCGACTGTTGAAGGCGTTGCCTTTCTAAATACTTAGGATTCACATGGATGCTATGTGGTGGGCGCTGAGATTGCGGATCAGCTCTGCCTGTGGTAACAGCAGCTGCTGAGCCATCACTTCTAGCATTAAAGCCAAGTTCTTTCTCAATAAGCTGAAGTGTTTGCGGATGAAAGACTCCTTTCCAGGTTCCAAAGAGATGCCTCATGTTAGAATGCATAGGAGGGTCAACTTGTCTGTAAGCCTTAACAAATACCTGCACAGAAGTACAAAGAGGAAGATCAGAGATGTAGTTGCTAGGCAAAAGAAATTATATAACCATGACTATCAACAAAACACCAACCTCTGGCAGCCTAGCAGCAAAGTACTTAATGTAATCCCTTCCAATGTTCTTCACAATGCTGTCTAACAGGTACAATGTTGGCAGCTTCTGATCGCTTGGTACCTGCATAACATTCTTCATCAAATCAGATACCCAGAAAAAAGGCCAATATAATCTCATAGAGAGTAACATCGAGGATTCCCACATTTGAGGAGGCCCTAGAGGGTAAAATAAAATATCAAAACATAAAAATTATTGGTACAAACCATGATGACATTCAAGCAACTACTCACATATATCATGACAACCAGGAATCCATAGACACAGAAAGCCATTAAACGACGTTAAGGAAATCTACATGCCAAAAATGGCAGAGTGACAACACTACTCAAAGTGTCGATTCCTAAGATGAAGTGAGAAACAGTGAAATTTTAATCCTTGTCTTCCCACCGACTTGATTGAACAGACTCCATCTGTTAGATATTTCTCTGCTACCCAAGATGAATAAATGTTGACTTGGCCTTTCTGGAGAGCATTCGGTAAGCAGAACCCATTAACAGATAATCAAACCTCACTAATAGCAGAGGTTATGAGAGCTCTTGCCAAACGATAAAGTAGAATACATTAGAACAACTCCAACGCCGTAAAAGAGACTACACACATCTATAAACAAAACTCAGTACAATGACATGAGGAGCTGAAATATGCATTCTTTGAAAGATTAACATAGACAAAATGGTTGCATGGGCAACAACTACTTTGAGATAGTTAACAACATTGTGTCAAGAAACAGATGCCTCTTTAAAGTGAGAATTGTACGGAATGGGATTCAAAAGATGACATAGACTATGAACTTTGATTCACAAGAATGATCTGCGACTTGATGAAAAAGGATAAAAAACCACACGGATTCGAGAAAAGACACTAGGGTTGCTTCAAAACTCGTTTTTTTCTTATTAAACCTCGCATACAGATCACAATCTCAACCACCACATTCACTTTTATATTGTACAATAAGTCAAACAAGAATTTCGAAAGAAAAGGAGCAAGGAGTATAACAAGTGGGCATGAAAACTGGGTGTTCACCTCGAGGATGTTGTTGCAAATGGTGGCTACAACGGCCTTGGCAGCATGAACATTCTCTCCAGCAATTATTGTGAGGTTCGTAATTATTGGCTTCGAATTGAAAGTGAGCTCGGATAGTGCCGACTTATACTGGTTCACAAGCTCGTAATGTGGATGAACAGGCTGTGGCTGGTAAGCCTCGCGGCTCGGATCACTGGCAATATTACTCTCCGTTTCTCTGCCACCGGCTCGAAATCTTGACGACGCAGGTGGTGCTGCCACCGCCGTACTGAGCGTTCTCTGCGACGAAAACTGCCGCGCGTTCGAGTTTACCGGCCGGATTAATTCCTCGTTGAGCCTTGGTTTCTTCATCGGGCCTGGATCTCTGGATCTATCAAACGGTCTACGCGAATTCTCCATCTTAAGAACTATACAAATACAGGAATCGAAGGAAACTTTCTCTAAAACCAATCTAATTGGCAAAATCGATTGAAATAACAACAAATCCTGGTTATAGGGAACCAGAGCATTACAGCAATCAGTAACTTGAGATACAAATGAATAGAGAACCCTAAGTTACAATCTACAGCTGAGATGCACAACGCGAGTCTGCGAATAAAACGGAGAGGATAGGAATGCTTCGAATTCGGCAAAAATGGCAGAGATTTGGACAAACTCCGATCAATTAGGGTTGAGAATTGGGGATTTTAAAGAGACGAGAACGAAAAGTAAGCTAAGATCGGAGCTGGTACCAATACTATTAGGCCCATTTAACAACCCGATGTCTGGTCCGGTTCAACCATCTAATTGAAACCAAACCGATGAAAAGAATCCATGTATCGAAGAATTCGTGTGAACAAAATCCACCGTATATAAAATGCAAACCGTAAAATCATTACATTAGTAAACTGAAGGAGTGTTTATTAGTTTGAGTTTCATAATCTGAAAACCAAATCCTAACCGTATAAGAAAATAACGTTGCAAAACGTGTCTTTATATTGGTATGGAAAACTAAACCAGATGAAATGTATTTGGTTTCAGAAAACCAAAAACTGAATGAACATCACATGAGCAAAGACATGCTTCAAATCTAGTTGGGAGAGAAGAACAATATAAAAGAAAAACGACAGATTCAGCTACTGGCAGCATCTCTTGTGAGTTGTGACTGGTATTTAGTACAACTAAAGACACTAAAATGACACATAAAGACGACATCTTACAAACTCTATCGTTAGCTTAACGTTTTCAATTTTACATTGACCTGTTTAGGTACTCTGGTGTCACTCTCTAACCATAGGCCATGTTTTTTGCTTAGCTACCTACACAGCACTCAGATCAGGTGGGTGGGTTGGCCTGTGACTGTGACTTCATTCTGCTGGCCGGGAAATGCAACCTCGCAATCAAAGGCTTTGGTCCTCTTGTCTTCCGATCAAAACCTCTTACACATACATAACCTACAAATTTAAAAGATAAATTATGTCTCAAACTCAATTGAAAACATCAATCTATGAACATGTTTCTATATACGCAAAGAGAGTGGAGAAAAAAGAAAAGAATAGTAAACTACATTTGGAGCTTTTAAATCAAAGAAAAGGAAGATGTTGCTATAGCGTAAACAAATTATAATTACCTCTCCAGAAAGCATGTTGAATTTTTTCTGTGGGCAAACCTGAAAATTAGCTTAAGTAGTTAGAATATTTTCTTCTTTTTAAATGTGTACAAGAGCATTGGTGAAGACTACATACCTTTGAATATGGATGGTATGGATGTTCCAAAATATACAGTTTTTCTAGGCAATTTCCATAACCAGTCCCTTGGAATATTGATTGGGTTTAAACTAGAATCATGATCCGCAAAAACCTACATTAACAGAATACATCAGAAAGTTTCAATATAAATAATTAAATGGAGGAATTGGACATTTAGGTTGAAGTTTAACCTCATTAACTTGGAAGTATGTCCCATTGAGTGGGAAACTACCTCTCATTGCTGTTCTACAAGGTATCTGCATATGAAATTACTAAATTGTTATTTGCAAATATTTGTTGAAACGTGTAGTAGGAGCAACAGAGTCAGACGCAATTGCTTACCAGGATTGTGCCTCTTACGGTTTGTGATCTTGCTTCTTTGACGCTGTTGCATGATAAACATGTTTCATCGTCGCACAGGTTACCATTTCCCTGGGAGATGCATTTGCTTACAGCTGGTTCAATGGAATCAACAGTCTCACCTGTTTATAGTCATCATGATTAAAGAAACTTTATTAGTTGATCTGACTAAATGACTTAACAGATTTGCGGATCAGTTGATAACTCCCAGCTGACCTGGTGTCCAAATGGCAAGCAAATACGAACACGGATCATCAGGTTCTCTCTTCTCCAACTGCCATAACAAACGCAAACAGCTCGTTTAGATTTTCAATACCGACAGAACTACATCATGTTTCCTAAACTAATATCTATTTGTGTGTGTTGGATAGGTCTGTAACTTCCCACACACCAATTCTGAATTGTATCTTCAACTAAATTATGAATTAAGTATAACTTATCTAACATACCTCAGCTAGAAGAGGATGCGAGTCTCCAAGTTCATAGCTGCAAATATGTGAAAATAAACAGAGTCAATGGTTAAAAAAAGTTGGAACAAAATTGTTGATATCTTAGCGTTTTTTTTTTTTTTTTTTTTTTTGACAATTCTATGTGGCATGGCTAGCAAGTATTAGGAAGTTTATATTTTTCCCAACCTACGGGTTAATGTCTGCCACTTAATGATTTAACCTAAAACACAGCAAAAAAACAAAGAAAATAGATACTTACACTAGGTGTTCTGTTCTTAGAAGACTGATATCTTTGAGCTTAGGCATTGGGATAGAAGCAGCTTCGGCAGTAAGCGCAACTAGAGCTGTAGACATATCTCCGTCTTGTAGTTCTCCGCTGCGTTCTATTATTTTCTTCAGGTTATTGGTAAATGCATCTAGATTGAGCCTGATTGTAGGAATCTCTTCTTGATCCTCGTAAAACGCATCCTCTATGTCACCTATTGATACTTCTTGGCATTTTAATTCCGGGGATGATGGTTCTTCGATAATTGGTTCACAACATGTGGGCTTGTTTGCAAGTTCTGAATGCATTACAACTTCTGATCCTTGATTTCTTTGCAATGCCTCCGGCAGAGCCAAAGTGTTTTTATCCGGTGTCATGTCTTTTTCTGGACCGGGTAAAGCAAGTCTTGCACTGTAAAACAAGTAAAAAAAGTTACTAGAGTTATATTCTGAATTAAGGTTCTCTCGTAATGGTACTAAGTGTTTTAAGGACACATGTTGTCGCACCTTGCAAACGCGCTAGCAAAATGTCTGCATTCCCCTTTCATCGGACATGCGTTGCAATTAGGTTTGCTCTTTGTGCAAAACACCTGAAATGAAACAAATAGTCAAGTAGATAAAAAAAAACCTCATCATTTTACCATCGGTTTTTTCATGCATAGATGTGTATATTTTTTTATATACATACCTTCCCAAAAGTAATCAGTTGGTAATGCAACTCATACCTGTGATGGCGTTAAACTAATGAATGGCTGTATCAAGATGGGCAATAAAAAATACATAAGATAAATATAAACATGGTGAGAGGTCTTACAAAGTTTTTTGGTCGAGTTTGCACAAACGTGGCCATAGATACTTTTGAATGGATTCAAGCACAGGGTACCTAGTTAAACCAAACTCAAAGATGTATCAGGAATTTTTAAAAAAAAAAAAAAAAACAGTTTCCAATTAATACCATATAGTAGAGTGCTTACATTTCTAGAAGATGCAATTGAAGTGACTCCGGGAGCGGCTGAAGAGGTACCCATCCAAGTCTAACGGCTATGCGCCCAACATTCGTATCAACCTGTCAATAAGTTTTATCGTAAGTTCATACATCATATCATTCACCTAATAGAAGAAGAAGAAGAAGAAGAAGAAGAAGAAGAAGAAGAAGAAGGAAAAAAAAAGATTCGGCTTACTGGAAAAGCAAGATGGTGCAGGGTAAGAAGCCGCACACATTCCACACTTTTTAGTCCCAATCCATTAAAGCTCAAAAGATATTCTCTGCATGATGATTGTATAATAAACGATAAATACGCATTGAAGCATGGAGTCATTGACGATTAACTGCCTAAGTAGTAATTTTAATACATTGGTCAATAAAGAAGAAATAAAACACTTTTCTTTCAAACTCACTTTGCTTTGTCAGGTGGAACGTCTCTCAACCATTCCAGATCAATGCTTCCATGTTCTGTGACCAGACGATTAAGGAAGGCCTGCAATATTTTCATGTTCAGAGTTAAATACTTAAAACAGATGATTATCCATAAATCTGGCCACATATTGATTAAATTGTACCTGTATACGTTCTGCGAGTTTATGGTTCATTCCACGGCTCTTAATAGTCTCAGCAACTTCACTAACATCAGCTGTTCGTATTGCCTCCCAGTCCACAGTGTCCATCGTCCTTGTTGTTTTTTCTCTTTTTCCTGCTCTAGCTTCTGCTTCTCTTCTTAAACTATCCCAATCAAAACCTTCTTTCCCCTTCTTTAAAACCTTTTTTCCTTTTGCTTTTAAGGTAGTAGCTTCATACTTAGGATTGAGCTCTTTGCACGATGAGTCTCCATGCTGCCTTGAGTCATGTCCTGGTGGTTTTTCTGTGCATTCTCGGAGATGAATACAACTCGTGCTTTCATTGAGATCTGGAATCAAAGTCTCCATTACAGGCCCTTCTTTGTTTTTTGTGGACGGAACGCTGCTAGAGCTTGCAGGCATCTCAGGTGTCTGATATTTGAAAACATCCCCAAAACAACAAAAGGGCTCATTACTGTCACCAGAAGACTTTGTTTGCCCTTTCAGTGATTCTAAATCCTTAACTCCTGAGCTATAATCACCGGGAGACGTATTTGGTGATACTTGTAAGCTTCCATGATTGCTTGAAACCCCATTTTCTTGCCTTGAATTGTCATACTGATGATTCTTCTGATTGGACTCTTCTGCTGAGACTGTATCAGATGTGATGATATCTCTTCCTTTGCCATGTAGCTGAGCAGACCCTAGCGACTGTAGGAGTTTCACATAGGAACTATAATGCTCTCCTTTTGAGTTAATCTCTGAGCTTGACCCTGCTCTCTGAGGAGCATCAGAAACCAACGAATTTTGACATGTAAGTGTAGAATCATCAGATGGAAATAAGTCTTGGACATGGTACGTTTGATCTGTCTTATCAACTTCTACACTTGAACGTTTTTGATCTGAATCAACGTGCGTCTTTGAATCCATGGTTTTGCCAACTGATACATGGGCTGAACTGGCAATCTCACTACTGCTTCTAGAGCTGTCATAATCCTTCTCCTCATCAGGCTGTGTGTGGTTATGAACGGGTGGGTTTGAAATCGATTCCTCTGAGTCCAAATAAGTTATTCGGATAGGAGGCACAGAGCATGTTCCTACGTCAAAGTTACTGCTGGGTACTTCCGGGGGAGGAAACTCTGAAGCAAGTGACATGAAAGCAGAACTACAGGAAACAAAAACATAAAAAGAAGTTTAGAGAAGAAGTTAGTTTTGAGTTTTGTTGCTGTCTTGGATTAAATTTCGACATAGATGTAAGAGTTTATACCTTGATAGGTGGTCAGAAACATTCTGAGTTAGAAACACTCCAACAACAGAATCGACAACGGACCCTTTCCAAGGGGTAAAACGTCGATCCCCTGTTAGAAAACATAAGACCATAACAACAAGTTACAACTAAGACATACAAGTAATAGATCAAATACTAAACCTAAAAAAGTTACAGTTAGAACAAAAACCGCAAAAAGGACAAGTGTGGTGTACCTTGTACAAGATGCATTCGTGCTATAAATGAGTCTGCTCGTCCTCGGAACACACTTCGTTCCTCCTCCCACCATCTCGCCTTGTGCTCGTCTGATCCGTCAACTCCTTCGCTATCTATACTGTCCATCAGAAGGTTCCACACTCGATCCGTCTCGTTATCCAGGTCAACCTTTGCTCGTGGACGCCGCTTTTTGACAGGAGCTGCAGGCACAATCGCTCCAGCTCCACCGGTGAAGAGTACAATCTGGTTTCCCGTGCTATTCATTTCGTTCTCCCTGTTGATGTCTAATACACGCAAATACTCACAGATTGCTTCAACTGAGTAAAGTTGTTTCCAAATTTCATCTGGAGGAAGATCTGTTAGACAGAACATCATCAAAAATCTGCATTTCAGCAAGTTCAAGAAAGAAAGAGAATTTAAAGTTGTGTATGTATTCGTTACCAGCAAATGAAGGTGGAGACCGGCCAAGATTCGGGTGAAGAGTTATCTGGTTGGTTTGTGATATCTCAGACTTAGCGGCTCGCTTCTTTTTGCTCAAGGTCACTCGCCTCTCAACAAGAACGTTATTGTTATTCTGTGGCCTGTTATAACCTCCTCCTTGTAGCTTCTCTGAAACTTCTGTAACTTTAACGATAGATGACAAGTTTCGGAATCGAGCATGGCCTGTAGTTTTCTTCTTGATTGGTTTGTCTATCTTATCCAAACGAACATTTGTCTCAAAACTCTGCCTTCCATGAGAAGCTCCTTCACAATTTTCTTCCATGGTTAGGACTCTACTAGCACTGGCCTGAGATGTGAAACCGTAGCACCTTGAGTCAAAGCCAGAAACATCTTCTTCTGCATCAAGTCGTTGACCAGTGAATGGTGCGCTGCAAATGGCATCAGATCTCATCTCTTTCTGTTGCCCGTCTGTGAAATACAACCAATGCATTTTCTCGTACTCACATAGCTCATCGTACAGGATCCCTGATGGATTCATGTCGCAAGTTGGTTCTTTTCTTTGTCTTCTCTTTGCAGCTTGTGCGCCACTGTTCTTTTGTTCCTTTCCCATTCTTCTACTCTGGCTCTGCTTTCTTTTAGGCGTGCTAGGCAATGGAATAAGACAATCTTTCGATTCTTGATTCCCGGAATCTGACTGCTTTCCTCTGCTGGCTAATTCAGTCTCATCTGCGTGTTTAGTATCGTTTTCACTGCTTTTGGGTTTGAAGCTCTCGTCCTCAAAATCCAAGGCACGTCTGCAAACCTTCTTGGCAGGAGCTGAAGCTTCCACAGCTGCTGATTCTTCAACTGGTGTCGATTCTTGATTCCTATCAGCTTCTACTTTCTTCCTCCTCACATATTTCCTCTTAGGCGTTTTGGTTTCTTGACCTTCACCAGCTGGTTTCCTCGGCGTTTTCGGTTTGGGATCTCTCTTCGGTTTAGCTTCTTTAACAACTTTTGGCCTGTGCTTCTTCCTCTTTGGCTTTTCCGGTGTCTTGATCTGTTCATCAACATTGTCACTCACTGGGATCAGAATCTCCCCTCCTTCATCACCTTTTTCCAACATCTCTCCATACACCATTTGCCCTGCAAAATGAGATTCAGATAAATTCTCTTAAAATTTCAAACAAAGCAATGTCCAGAATCAAAAAGCCCTCTCTTACTTTGATCAATCCCAGTCTGTCTCTGTCCGGAGAAAAACACTGATGATGCTGTGTTGGCCAGAGCCAGCAAATCTCCAAAGGACAAATTGTCAAGACCGTCCATGTCTTCATTTCCGACGAATCTCCTGCATGCAATCACTTACTTGAGCAATTACCCAAACACTAATCTTTGAAATTCCCAACATTTCAGACAAAACAATAACACTTACCCTTCCATCGTCTGATTCCAATTTGTGTAGATCGGATCAATTGGCTTGATAGGTGTCTGAGGAATCCATGGAATTTGATTGCTGCTGCTTTCTTCTATGTTTCGTTTCTCCATTTTTTACTTCACATTCGACTCTTCACAAATCACACTTCCTTCACCTGAATAATTTTGATTCTACGCAGAAATGAAATCCTTGCAAGTTTCTATTTTTAACTGCAAAAAGATAAACCAAATAAGGAGATCACCAAATAAAATAAAAACGTCAATATTATTAAATGTTTCAAGAGTAAATGTTTAGATCCACTTTTTTCTGGTAAGTTTTAGAGAGATCTCCGGGAGTCACTGATTTTAGTTGAGTAACGACATCAACGATGATTAATCAATTAGGTGGACGAGGACTTTTCAGAGATCACAACAAAATGGAAAAAAAGCGAAGTAATTATACACACAAAAACATAGAGACATCAAAGAAAATTTACCAGGAGAATCAGTAGCGGAGATCAAAGTAATATGGAGTTGGGTCGGTGGTAGCTTTGAGAGGATAAGAACACTCTTTCTCTTGGAAACGATGCAGTTGAGTGAGGTAGATACAAGAAATATTGTAAAAGCAAATAAGCCTTTTGGACTTAACGTATTATAAGGGATAGAATATGTGTTATGTTTTTGTGTATAGCCGTTTGTTTTAGCGCGAAAGTTCGTTTGGTTGGCGGAAAAAGTTTCGTAAAATTATTTTTTAAAAAAATATTTTCTATCAAGTCTCCTAGACTATAGAAAAGATGATGATTGAATAATATAATAATAATGTAATTGTCAACCAGTTTTCTTTATTATCAGCCATCTCTTTTTTTTCTCTTTCATTTTTCTTCTTCATTTAAGATATATATTATATATAGTTTTAAAATTTAAGAAAACTACACAATATTTAAGTAAGTAATCATACGAGTTTTTTAAACTATAAAGATAATTTCAAATAAATGAAAATAATGCTATAATTTTACTCTAAATATTTATAATGTTATAAAAACTATAATTTTACATAAAAACAAATATTAAGCTATTTTTTAATAACATATTTTATACATAACATCATACTATTATTAATCCGATAACACGATAAATTAATTAATATTGTGCTTTTTTCCAAATCACTTTTCCTATAGTCTAGTAAATTATGGTGACAACTTTATTATAACATACTACTATAACTAATCCGATGACACAATAATATTATATTATTTCTGTAGTCAAACCACAACAACCATATTTACAAATTTGTCACTAAAATCATTTATCTGATATTTTTCTATAGCAAAGCTGTTTGCAAAACTCTAATTTACAGAGTTAAATTACTTTTTAGCTTTAATACTAACCTAATACCATGACTAGAGCCGGCTTTGAGAGCAAACAGTCTAAGCATGAAGTTGCAGTTCTACTTTTATATATAAAATTTTTCGACTCTAAATTTATTAAAAATCTTTGTAGTCTAATAGTATGGTGTAAGATCGGTCTTGGTTGGTAGTTGAGACTTTCTCGAATTTGATTTCTAATTTTGTAAAACAGTCCATTTTTTTCTTTAACTTGTAGCCACTTAAGACTCAGAACCGGCTCTAACCATGACTAACAGTATTTTGTCTTACAATGCAAAACATATTGTTACATTCATTTGACTACAGTAATTGGCTAAATGAACTCTTTTAGTGATGAAGTATTATGCATGTATAACAGTATTTTAATTTTCCACTGAAATGTAAATTTATAAAGGTTAAATAACTCCCCATAATCCATAGCCTCGTAGCACTTGTTGCTAGTTAGCCGATCTAAACCGGATTTTTGTTTTGAAATAAACTTTAGTTGGTTTTCTTTTTTTTGAGAAAAACTTCAGTTCGTTTTTAATTGTAAGGAGTTAATTTTCGTAACCTTCTGTGTATTTTGATTGAGTGTATCCACTTTAGTTTATGCGGTTAGTTTGGAATGAGGTATACTTTAGGTTGTATAGTAAAATTTGGTACATTGATCAATTTGTATTTAATAACTGAATCCGAACCGAATTGATTAAACTTTGATTTAGTTTATTATGTCGATGGCAGGAATCCAATTTTAAGCACTGTATGAGATGTGAACCCAAATGCTTTTCTGCGGGTCCTCTCTTTAGATTCTTTGTTGTATCGGATTCGTTTAACAGGTTTATTATTCCACGCTCCTGCGGGAAGTAGAACTTTGATCTAGACCAACATGGCGACTTTCATCATAGAAGAAACTACCCTACTACTACCGTTTACTTAACTAACTATTCACCATGAAAAGAACAATAAATTACATTAAAATTTTAGGGGATTCAGCAAAGGACTTGATCCTGACCTTACACTAACCATCTTGAACGGTACACAGTAGTATAAATCTTCTCAACCACAAAAAAAAATCTCCATTTTATTAGATTTTTTTTGAAAATGCAACGTAATTAGTTATAAAATGTTTTTTTTTTTTTTTGTCGACTACCCAAACTATTACATCACTATTGGCCGACCCGAGGTTGGTTTTGTAAACCGTCCTCAACCGACTCGTTATGATCGATATGGGTGAATATTTGTCCTTTTGCTCGAGCTCCTTTTCCTTTTGCAAGACTATCCATCCGGACATTTTCACTTCTATGAGATTGTTAATACTATTTTTGTCAACATAACACAGTACTATTAATATAAACACGAGAAAACTCAATCACAGTGACAACAAATACTATAGTGGTGTTCATACTTCTCTCATGCAAACTGAGACAATGCCAAGTGGAAACCAAGTGCCATCTTCCTTTGCTTAAAAATCAAGGTGATAGAGAACAACACTACACTAAATATATACAATGCTTAATTTATTACATGTGTTTTTTTCAACCGTTCCTTTCCTTTCCCATGTCTATATATTTATATGTTGATCTATTTTCTGGATCAGTTGTTCACTTTCATCTTAAAGATCGTTTATTTCATATAATGTGTCAATAATTTGTTTAATGTAAACCACCCAAAAACCGTATAAAAATTTCATCAATTAGAATTTTAGTTTGTATTAAAATATTCTTTTAAATCAGTGTAAATGTACTAATCTGAGGTGATTTTTCTAGCAAATGTACAAATTCTCAGAAATATTTTAACACCATTTTTTATGGTACCATACATTTTCAGATTTATTTTGCATTATATTATACTAACTGTTACATAATATTTACTATTTAGTCGAGTAAAACAGAGAGCTTCGGCTCTCTCATTGGATAGCCCTAGTCAAATGTTTGATTATATTGCCTAAAAGCTTAAAATCATTAAGGGCTAGTTATCACAACATCGATGAATGACAAATGAAGTGTGTGGCTTGGACCATGTCATAATAGTCTGGTACACATACTATCCAATGGATGATCAAAACGTCGAATGAGTACTCCCAATCTCAACTTGAAGTTGGAAAAGTAGATTTCGCTAACAATATGGAGTATGCACCATCTATAAGTCGGTTGTTCTACTGACATTATAACTTCTTACAAACATAACACATAATACCATGCATGAAAAACTGAATTAGTTCCTTTGTTTCTTAAATTTTTGTTTCTTTCATTTTCCTAAATTTCTTACTCACTCAAATCCAGAGAAGGTACCAAAAGACTGAAAGAGTTATATTCATATTTTTTTTGAAAAAAAAGTAACCTAAAATTTCTGGACCGAAATTCATATGTCTCTCTATCAAAATTATCCATCTCTTTTTCAAGTGAGAATCAAATTAGAGAATTTAAAGACATATAATCTTTAGAGAACATAAGAATTCGACACTAATCTTTTTTTTATGGCTATGATTTGAATGACTTCGACACTAATGACTAATCCATTATGTATACATTCGAAGTTGGAAGTTTTATATAATATACTACTCACTATACAACTAACAAACACGACCTACACATTCTTTTTAATGGGTGGCAAATATGCCAACGCGATGGTGCATAGAGTTCCCTTCACCTCTTTTTTTCTTTTCTTATTAATTCAACTTTTCTACCTTATTTTTTATTTATAAAAAACACATGAATATAGAAAATACAGCTGTATATAAACCTATTTGTCTCGGTAAGGCAGAAGTAACGCAAAATGTCATTTACCTTTTTTTTTTAATTAAGAAGGTTTGGTCATAAATCACTTATAGCAATCTTATTTTGCTAAAAGTAAATGGTTTCTTATCACAAATTTCATCGTTTTCTTTTTTAAAACTCACAGTTTTATCCTTTAAAATCGTTTTCACTCTATTTGGTAAATAAAGTCAACCAAAATTAATTATCTACTAATTACATAGCTAGTACACCCAAAATGTATTAACATAGCTTAATAACAGATTTATTGCATTCATCTTCTTTCTTTTTTCGGGGTGAGTGGTAGAACCACGAGACACGTTATTAAGAAAAACGCTAAAAAGGAGGAAAAAAAAAAAAAACAGATAACAAAGGCAACTCTCTTATTTCTGGAATCAAACCCCTTTCTGAAGATCAATCATATAAATCTGTGATTGAAGTTTCTCTGATGATTTGATTTTGCTCGTGAAACGAAAAGACGATTTTTTAAAGATTTTTTGGTTTACAGCTTCAAATTTCGAAACGTAATTCCCAATTTGATTTTGAAAGAACACCAAAACACCAACCCTACAAATACACACATTACACCAACGGAAATTTCCAAGCTTTTCAAATCCTCACCGTCAATCTAAATCGCCGGTCAGTATCTTCGTCTCTATCTGGATTTTCGATTGCTCATTGAGATAGCATTTCATAGCTTTTTAGCTGATAATGTATTTCATTTGTATAATCTCTCTGTTTCCGCTTTAGTTGCTGGATTAGATTCTTCCATTTGGGTTCTTGATGAATCACACACAGAGCAAACCGCCAAATTTGAATTAGATTTCCGGGAATTTGTTGGATTTGTGTGTGTTAATCTGCATCAATTTGTCTGAATGTCCAAAATCTAGAAATGAATCTGTATTGGCATAAAAGGACATGCATTGCTTGATTTCCTTAATTGTTTTGTCTTTGTCATTAAAGAACGTAATCCAAGTTGTTAAAAACAGTTTTGATCATCAAAAATAGGATTTTTTTCCTCTTGAAGAAGATGTAAAGGATTATGATTCATGCTAAATCAAATTCTTGCTATGTTGTTTTTGCTTTTGCTTTAGGTGGTTAGCCACATATCTTCTTGTGTTTGCTTGAGGAGAAATTTGTCTGTTTTAATCATTGTCTGACTTTCTCTGGCTTGTAGATTGATATATGGGTGATTAAAGGCTTCTCATACTCCTAAAAACATGACTACTCAGAATTCATCTGGAAGGAGAAGTATTTCTAGTGTGAGACGGGGAACATCAGCTTCCAAGAAACCTGTTCTCCAATCCGAGGAGAGTGGAAGCAGTAGCCTGAACGAGAACATATCCAAACCGGATTCACCTCTTGCTCAACCGGTTCCTAATGGCGAGAGAACAGTCAAGAAGCTACGGTTATCTAAAGCTCTCACTATCCCTGAGGGAACCACTGTCTTTGACGCTTGTAGAAGGATGGCTTCTCGGCGTGTTGATGCTGTTCTGTTAACCGATTCAAGCGCTCTTCTTTCAGGGATTGTCACCGACAAGGACATAGCCACGAGGGTGATCGCAGAAGGGTTGAGACCAGAACACACCATGGTGTCGAAAGTCATGACAAGGAATCCGATTTTTGTCACCTCGGATTCACTTGCCATCGAGGCTCTTGAGAAGATGGTTCAAGGGAAATTCAGGCACTTGCCAGTTGTGGAGAACGGTGAAGTCATTGCATTGTTGGATATCACAAAATGCCTCTACGATGCGATTTCTCGGATGGAGAAAGCCACAGAGCAAGGAAGTGCTTTAGCTACTGCAGTGGAAGGCGTTGAACGTCAATGGGGAAGCGGGAACTCTGCTCCTTATCCTTTCATCGAAACATTGAGAGACCGTATGTTCAAGCCTGCATTGTCAACAATAATCACAGAGAACTCAAAGGTTGCACTCGTGTCACCATCAGATCCTGTCTTCGTAGCTTCCAAAAGAATGAGAGATTTGCGGGTTAACTCTGTGATCATCGCTGTTGGGAACAAAATCCAGGGGATTCTAACATCAAAAGACATTCTCATGAGAGTTGTGGCTCAGAATCTGTCTCCTGAACTGACTCTTGTTGAGAAAGTAATGACACCAAACCCGGAATGTGCATCAATGGAGACAACCATCCTCGACGCCTTGCATATAATGCACGACGGGAAGTTTCTGCACCTTCCGGTTTTAGACAAAGACGGATTTGCAGCAGCTTGTGTTGACGTGCTGCAGATAACTCACGCGGCTCTCTCAACGTTTGAGAACAGCTCAGGAGCTGTTAACGATATGGCGAATACGATGATGCAGAAGTTCTGGGACTCAGCTCTCACGTTAGATCCACCAGAGGATTACGAAACACACAGCGAGATGTCAACAATGTTGATAAACTCAGACGGAGCAGATACAGGGAAGCAGTCTTGTCAATCTCAAGGACTCTTGAGCTCGTTTGCTTTCAAGTTCCAAGATCGTAAAGGGAGGGTACATCGGTTTAACTCGACGGGTGAGAGTTTTGAAGAGCTAATGTGTGTTGTGATGCAAAGATGTGAAGTGGATTCTGGCCTGCAGATTATGTACCAAGATGATGAAGGTGACAAGGTTTTGATAAGTAGGGACAGTGATCTTGTTGCTGCTGTTGCTTTTGCTAGGTCTTTGGGGCAAAAGGTTTTGAGACTGCATCTTGATTTTACGGAGACAATGTGTCTTGAGACGATTGCAGATTTGTCTGAGGGAAGTTGCGGTGGAGGCGGTGGTTGGGATTGGTGGCGGACTGGCGTTGTGACCGGGGCTATTGTCTTGACGAGCATAGGTTTACTTGTTTACTTGAAACGTTCCAAGAAATAAATATGTTGAAATCGAAACTGTGCTTCTTGTCTTCTTTTTTTAACAGTGTAAAGCAATAATAAAAGATAACCTGTTCCTAACTTTACTTATGTTCATTGAGCATGCAAGATTACGATTGTGCTGAACTAGTTCAACTTTCAATGCCTTTATCTTTATGGGGTACAAATACAACTAACAATACTTTGTTGAGGTTGATAAACCATCTGCGTAAGAACAATTTGGATAAAGGAGAAGTAGTTGTCGAGCCAAAAAGAAAAAGAAAAAAAAACTGGTTCAACTTCAAAAATGCAAGCTGTGGGGTTCGAACCCACGCGCACTTATGTGCAGAAGAACTTAAGTCTTCCCCCTTAACCACTCGGGCAAACTTGCTATTCGTGCTATGTAATCACAATATGTGGTATTAATCCACAGTCTTAATTGAAGAATCAGTCAATCACCAATAACCAGTTGCTTCGGTTAAGTGAACGGTAAAACCGAGAAGGCAAACGACTCTGGTAACTGTTAAAAAAGATCTTCGATTAAATTTTGCATCAAATGTTCCTAGCCACCTTCAGATAGTTTAACACAAATAGATTGTTTTCTCTTTCTTTGTGGGCTTTTGACATTATCAGTTGGAACTAATTTCAAAACAGGCGATTGAAACAATGGAGCCTTAATGAAGAGCAATTTGCTAACAGAAAACAACCATATGTCAATGGAGATCATAAGATTCACAAGAAATTTAAGAGTAAAACTGAAAGTAGATTTTAAAAGAAGGGCTACGTACTGTCATCCATAAAGGCATAGCTATCTCAGGTTTCTCTTACAAAAATGAAAAACTATTCCCCAAAAAGGGTTCAACAATCAAAGCATAAACCAACAAAGAAAATAAATAACTTCTTTCTAATACTAAAGTTGAATCCCTTCTTTTTTCAACAAATCCATTACTTAATCATCTCAAATGTTTTATTGTCCATTGGATTATGAAGAACCCAATGTGCTAAATGTTTTATGAAAATTTAAAAATAAAAGATCATAATGAAAATATAAGTACATTAATTATTACATTAAGTCTAGATGCATCTTGCTAGCATCAATTGAGTCTTATACGAATATGAAAAAACAGCTAATTAATATCCTTATAAGGATCTTATTAACTTAGATTTGGATGAGATTATGGGCTAAGTTCAGATCCTTAGTTGTACCATCCGAGGTTCAAACAGAGAGAAGGTTCACTCATTTCTTGTCGATGGACTTGTCCTGCGGATGTGCAAGTCAAAGCGTTTGGTATTGTGGTTGCAACAATCACAGATTTGGACTCTTTGTTCCTATTTGAAGACGTCTTTACGATCAACGGCAAGAAGCTTCCAACCACAACCTGTAAAAATTAAACCATAAGACAGAAATGTTCTGACGTTTTATATTAACACACAGAGAGAATATGCTTCTCTTTTTTGCGTGGTTCTTACATGGACTGGACTTGCTGCAATGAGTCTACCGGCTAAAATACCACCAAAGACACAGCCATTAACTCCAGCGATCGTAATTCGCCACCCTCCGGTCTCATTTCTGACTCCTCCGCTTTCAGTTACCACCATTGTACCTTTCAGCGATATTATCTCATACGCATCCTACACCAAAAAAATAATGCTATCGATCATCTTCCTATCCAAATCTATGGCTAACGAGGTTCTTTACATTCATGCTTAAACAACTTATAATCTTATACATTGTGAGTATTAAGAAACCAAGATTGGAATGCAAGAACGAGTTCATCGTATATTTACCTTAAACGTCAAGACATTGTGATTGAAGCCGACAGGTTGAATCTTGACGTTAGAAACCGCACCATTTGCTGACAAAACGCAGATCCCTCGGGAACCGTTTTGCGTGAACGACATAATCCTCTCGATTATGTCCTGTAGAAAAACAACAAAAGACAATATACTCGAGTTGAACTTTGTCAGCAATTAGCCATTTCATATCCCATAGCTATCATTCATCTAAATAACCGTATTTTTCATTTTAATTTTAAAGTTACGTTTGTTTTTTTTCAAACCTTGCATATGTTTACGAGAGTCAAAAGTTTCTTTGATTTTTTTTTTGTTAATCGGGAAATTTCAAATTCAAACCCAAACTAATCTTCCAAATCCCATAATTAAAATATACTAGTTATTTTGTAATGAATATTTTTACATCATTTGTTAATTAATTAATGTTCAAAATTATTAGATTTGATTTGACTAATGGATAAGTTTGATAATTTGTTAATCTGGAAATTTTAACAACAAAATTCTAAAACATCGACTGGAATAGGTAAATATGAATACCTCTTGGGTATTAATTGTGAGCATATGTGCCCTGAAGTCCCATCCTCCATGACTCACAGACCGACCATCTTCAATCCAAAACACATTCGAAGTTTATTAGAAAAAAAAAAATTTGCACAACTGTTTTTTAAGTTTTAGTCGTTAGTGAACGTAACTCATGCATATTCTCACAAGTTCTAGTCATTATCCTGATCTCTAGCACAAGACATGCCATAATTTTGACATTCAGAGAAACTGAGATGTTCTTTTTGGATTATCAAAAAGTTCAGGATTTCTTTATCTCGAAATCTCTTGTTAATTTAGTCCCTTTCAGCCAATATCGAAACTCGAATAATTATAGCTATCGTTATAAATTAAGAGTCATATATTGTGAGACCGTAAGCTCAAAGTTTTACCTCTTCTCTTCCTCAACAATCTCTTTGTCGAGGATTCCCCTGGCGTTCCAAACGGTTTGATCGAGTTTGCGTTGGGATCGTACTTCCTCGGCCTCCCTCTTTTCCTCTTCATCGACGTATCTCCTGTTTTGGTCTCCTTCTCCATCTTGACCAATGACCCTTCAGCAGTCACTGTGACCGGAGCAGCGTGAGAGTTTGGGCTTGAGTCCGACATTGACACAGTAGTGGTGCTCTCGTTTTGATCCATGGTAGAGACTAAAAATGAGAGGTAACAAAAAGAGCTTGTGATTTAGGAGAATTAAAAAGAAAGAGTTTGTGATTATATAAAGACTCTTTTTATTTGACCATAGGAAAAGGAAATATAGTGATTGTTTGGAAATTTTATTTTATTTTTTTCCTAATATTAATATATGTGAAATTAAAAAAATAATTTTTTGAACTTTCACTTTATGTGTATACGTGTGTATAATATTAATTGAGATAAGTGAAATAACTTGTAAATTTTGTCTAACTTAGTTTAAGATAAATTCATTTTTAATTTCTATATATAAAGATAATTTTTATTTATGAATTCTTTAAAAGGTAAAAATGTAAGTGAAATTAGCTGATGACAATTTTGATAGATATTACTTAATTCAAATTTATGACTCAAATATTATGTGTCAAAAAAATAGATATGTTGCACGATAGTTTTTGATATAAAAATTTAGATATGACTAAATACTTTTTTTTGGAACAATTTTCGGTATTTTGAACAAGGATATGATCGAGAACGTAGATAATTTGGTCAAAATTTGATTTTCAAAATCATTTCGTTGCCAATAATCTACATATGATCATTTTTTTACTTTTTAGATATAACTTTACTGTGTTCTCTTTCGTCTTTGTAAACGGTTTAAATACCATGACTAAAAATTCTAAATGTCTTTTATTGTTTTGGATTTTCTGGGAACTATATTTCCCGGCAAGCTTACGAGCATTATATCGAATATAGGGTGCATTACAATCAAAAAATATGTAGGCATGTAGCTCCAGACGGTTGCACTTTCTCGTTCACATAGATGTAGTATAGTATTAGAGGGGGTTAGTGTCTGAAAATAAAATTTATTGAAATTCTTAGTTAAATTCAGTATATATAATAATATAAAAAAAACATGACAAATAAGTACTAATTATCACATTAACTTATGTTACGTGGTAGTCTTTCTTACAAATATCAATGTCTATCGGTGGAATACCTCTGACCAAAACATATCCTCTGTAATTTATTTTATTGGTTTTTCCAACATTTTTTGTATCGTATAAATTAACATTATTTATAATTAATATTCAATGTGTATTAAATTTTGCAGATATTGGATACTTAAATTCATGAAATAAATTGCAGACAAAAAAAAATCATCATTTGAGCAAATCCATTTGTACTCTATAAGCAATAACAAATTCTTTGTATAGAAAATGAGCTAAGAATGTGAAGTCTTAACACAGAAAGTAAATACATGAGTCAACAACTATATATTTGTTTCCCATTTTGAATTTAATTTATATAAATATTTATAACATGTATAATACAAAGTTATATAGAAAAAAATATTATGGCTAAAAGAAGATAAAAAGGCCAAGTGATATTGTTTCTAGAAGAAAAATCGAATCTATATTTGGAAAATATTAGCAACTAGGTATTTAGCCCGCGACTTGCGCACGCCTAAAAATTTTAAAAATAAAAAATAAAAATTTATGCTATAAATTTAAAATAATTAAAACAACTATTTAAGATATAAAAAATCAAAATAAAGTTAACTAAAAAAGTAAATAAAATTCGAAATTAATTACATAAAAAACTTTATAACTGAATAATCCACAAACTAATTTAATTAAAATAAATTTTAGTTTTTCGTTTCCTATTTTTTCCTCTACATTATTTTTTTTCTTTCTTCTTCATCGTTTTTTCCTTATGCTTCTTTTGTCCATATTTTTTCTTGTTTTCTTTTTCATGTCGTATTCTTCATTTTCTTTTTCTTCTTCCAATATTTCTTATTCAAATTTATCATTCACATATTTTTTTTTATTATTTAACACATTCGTCTTCTTCTTCTTTTTTGTTTTTACGGTTTATTCTTCTTCTCCTTATGATTTTTTTTCATATTACGTACTCTTCATACTTTTTATAATTTTATATCTTTTGAGGCTGAGAAAAAAGATAAATACATATTTCAAACTTAAAATTCTCCTTAAAAGTGGGTTATATTTATTATTAGATAAGAAAGCTGCATTAACTTTTGTAGCTTGCTCCTTTCGAACAATCAAAAATATTTTTGGATAATCAACTTTAAAAAAGAGCTTAAACATATATACCAAAAAAGAAATTCTCAAAATTTCTTAATGATGCTAATAACAAAAATATCAAAAATTATAACAAATATCAAAATAAGACTTTAAGTAAAATGGAGTCTCCACAAAAGGGTTGTGACATTTTCACGGTCCCAAGATTTGCAGATTTTTGTATATAATTAATCATCGATTTCTTTCACATTGTTGTGCTATAATATTTATTTGTTACCCTATTAAATAATTTTTAAAAATAAAGAAAATACAAAATTAGATGGAATTAAATCCTTCCAACATACAAACTTAAGAAAACTTAGAATTTTAGCTACTTAAACATAAATTTTACATCTCAAATATTTTTGTAAAAATTTTGGATAATTCATATATATTTTTTAATAAAACTTAAAATTTATTAAAAAAACATATAAATATTTAATATAAACATGTGAATACATATAAAACATATAAATATATATGAATTATCCGATTCAGAATGGTATATAGGGTAATTCCATCTAATTAATACATGCAAATCGGATAATTCATATATATTGTTTATTAAAAAACAATATCTAAGTATTTATCAAGACTTACTTAAAGATTAAAGGAGTAACATAACTATATATGATGATTTTTCATTTTCTAATGTTTTTTTATAATTCATATAATTATTTTTTTAAAAGAAAATAATATCTAAGTATCTATTAAGTAAGATTTACTTAAAGATTTATGGAGTAACATAATTATATATGATGATTTTCGAGTTTTAATATTTTTTTATAAAAATTAATTTAAATAAAATTAATTTCATTTAAAAAAAAAATCATGATTTTAGTTGTAAAATCGTGATTTTTGATTTGATAAAATCGTAGATTTTGATCTGATTGAGATATAATCATGTATTTTGATTTGATTTAATATTATTACAATCTATATATAATCGTGATTTTAGTTGTATTTTTGTTTTTTTAAATTAAAAATAATTTTAAGGAGGGGTAGAAGGTAATTAGCCACTTTGAGATTCAATGAGAAAGCTTTAAACAAAATTTTTACTTCACTTATAATATATATGATTTATAAAAATTAATTTAAATAAAATTAATTTCGTTTTAAAAAAAAATCATGATTTTAGTTGTAAAATCGTGATTTTTTATTTGATAAAATCGTAGATTTTGATCTGATTGAGATAAAATCATGTATTTTGATTTGATTTAATATTATTACAATCTATATATAATCGTGATTTTAGTTGTAAACAATTTTTTTTTAAATTAAAAATAATTTTAAGGAGGGGTAAAAGGTAATTAGCCACTCTGAGATTCAATGAGAAAACTTTAAACGAAATTTTTATTTCGCTTATAATATATATGATATGATGAATGTGAAAAAATGTTTTCTAAACAAAAACAGCCACAAATGCAAATTATCAAAGTCCGGTAATCACTTGTAGTTTTATATAATAAAAAAATCTTTGTTTCTATTTTTTTAATTATGTCAAGTACTAAAACTCTAATAAAAACAAACAGTTGAAGAAAATTTGAACGTAAAACATGAGTCAGTCAACGCTCATTCTCTTTCAAATCCATATCACTCACTTTAAGCCCATGTGTGAAGACCCATTAGTGTACCTGTACATGCACACACACCCCAAGACCCAAACTGAAAGAGGGGCTCAGTCTCTTGAAATCCATCAGCTTTTGTACTGCATACAAATGGAGATCTATGAGCCCAAAGATTTATATGAGCAAGTATTGTTATTTCCATCGATGAATTGAGTTGATCTTTAATTTCCAACTAGAATCTTATGTTGTTATAATTTGGAAATTTGAGCTAAGTTAGTCTTAGAAGCAGAGGGTAAAGCTTTACTAATGGCAGTTCAAAAGCACAAAGTTCATCGGTTTCCAGCAGATTAGATAAGAAGGTGATTGTCAGGGCCTAATCAACAATTTAAATGGAGGGCTTCACCATCCATAATCTTTGGATGGATATCTCCATGTGGGCTTCCACTTCTCAAACACTTAAATTCCAATTCATTCAAGGATGTTTCAATGAATCTTCTCACTCTTTGGCCACTTCTTGGCAAAGCATTGTCCACCCAATGGGGTTTTCTATTCTAGCTGTATTCATCTTCCGTATGGGCTTAACACCAAATTTGTAACGTGATTATGTCTTTAAACAAAATAAGGTCATGCTTTATTTAGCGTATATTGTATAACTTATAGTACACGTAAACTATGTTTCCGAAAGGGTCTTTCGTGCATCAACCATTTCGACTTGGTAATTTGATGTCTTTAAAACTCTGATTAACAAGAATGGAGATGTACAAAACTTTAGTAAATTTTCAATGATTAAACTTATTTAAAAATAGATGAAAATCACAACGCCAATTGCGCCTTGATTTTCTCTTTTTATATTTTTACTTTAAATCTGTTAAAACATCTCAAACAATGTCGGGTTGGTTAAAAGAAACAAAATAAGAAGGGAAAGAGTATGGAAATTGGGGGGAAAAGTGAAGGTGCAAGGCTGACTTTGTCCCTTCTTTTTCCAAACATCATTCAACTGTCGCGTCGTACCAATCATGCATCCACCATGTTATTTGTTATTTTTTTGTCGGTACACAAGTTAATTTCGATTATTTGATTCTAACGAGATAAAATACATAATAATTTTTCTTTTATATGTATAGTGCTCATAGTCATACCCGAGAATGTTGTTTTTGTCGATTATATCAACATATACTAGTTGAAATGACGAATTCACTAGTCCAATAAATCAACAACTATGTTCTTGTTTTAAATTTGAAGTTCAAAATTTGAAATAATTTTGTAAATCTTAGATTCGAGTTGTAGAGAATTTCAAACGCAATTGCATGCTAAAAGAAACATCAAAATCAAGTTCAAACACACATTATAATCTGAA